TATCAGCGAACAAACCCGACACTGTGTCGCGTGCCCTCGACGCGCGCGCTTTCACGAGGGTTGCCGGGGGGTTCCTCCCCGGAGCAGAGGACAACAGCAGCACACAGCAGCACTTCGTTACGTGGTTTATGTCTTTTCAGTGGCTCCAATTGCCATCGTGGACTTGGCGCCTGTCATATCTGCGCCCTCACACGTAACAATGTAGGGTGTTATGTGATTTGGAGAGGCGGCGCCGGCGGTTGGCCCGGCGGCAGCCCCAGAGTGGAACCAGCCCTTGGCTCGGCCATGGCCGGGTGGTGACTGAAGGCCCCCGACAGCCATCGATATGTATGCCGAGTCTGGAGGAGGGGGTGGTGGCGATCCCTCCCTTCGCCAACCAGGGCCAGCACTATCCAGCGAACGGCAGCTATCGCCACCCACCTCGACGGGTGCGTGTGGGCTGCTCGCTTTATGGCGATAACTCACTTACACGCACGCCTTGCCGGGCTTGCGGGACTGACGTGTCCGGGACGAGACGGGTCGACGGATCCGGAGAGGGACGGAGGGCATCGGCACTGGGCGTTCGTTCGTAAGTGCCCAATCACCCCAATGCAGGTCAATCAATGCAGAGATAGCCGGGCAGGCTCCAGACCCGAGAGCTGCAGGGGGTGCGACTGCTCGCTGCTCCGGTTTGAATTCGTGACCCAGAGCCCAGTGCGTCCAGTGCGAATGACGACAGGGGCCCCACCCTAGCCAGCCAAGGCCGTCACTTGTAGCTTATATCCTCGGGTCTGGTCCCTACCACGAGCCCGTCCGTGGAGCCATCACGTCTCCTGCTAGCTCTCGCCAGTACCCCTTGTGGACCCAAGACGTAGCCCAGAGAACAAGACTCCGTTTTCCTCCCACACCCCTTGTACCGAAATACGCACCAGGCCAAGCCCTGCCCTAGCTTCTCCCGACACTGTCCGCCCGCGCCTGAAGTTTATAAACATGAAGGATCCCGTCCAAAGAACCGCTTCTCCCTACGTCGACCCTTCAGTCAAAGGTCCACGAGCCCAGATTCTCTCCGCCGGAACCCACGCCTCCTCCCATCCACAGCGCAACATCATCAACATTGCCGCCGCAACCAGTACGTCCGCCCCTCGCCGAGCTCGTCTTTGTTCCCCATCGCTGCGGCGTCCCCATCCTCCATTTCAGTCCTCTCTCCCCCTGGCCTCGGCCGCCCCAATGGTCCATCTGCCCAATCCTCCTCTCTTCGGCGCCGCGCTCCTCCTGCCCAGCGGCCGATAGTGTCTCCTAGACATCCGCCTAGCCATTGTGTCCAGGAACTTGGTCTGACATGTGTCCCGACGGCAGTGATTCCCAACAACGTCAACAAGACCTCACTTCACCCTAGTGGTGTTCAGTAAGTAGTGATCTGTATTCCCCGACACGTGGCCGGGGCAGCTATGGTCTGGCGCCCAGGGCAGCGGGGGACCGGCGCTAACGGATTTGTCCCACCATCTACAGGGCACACCGAGTCGAGCACACTGAGCTTGGTATGGTCTACCTGTTCCACCGAGCTCGCGAGCCTGACGGCACAGCGAGCTCTTGAGGGAGACGCAGCTCTCGCTGTGCGACCAAAGACTGACTCGCGGCCTTTGACACAGAGGAGGAGCTTCACGAGAAGGCACACATCGACTACGACAGGGTGGCCATTGTAAGTCGAGGCGTGAAACTCTGTTGGCGTGTCATCGAGTAGCGGCCAAACTAACATGCGGAACCTAGATCCCCAACCCGTCTGTTCCGGCACTGTACGAGGATGCACTGGTAAGGAGACGGCGCATTTCCCAAGGAGCACCGCCTTGACATGGCGGGCTGCTAGCACGCGGCTAGACGCATGCTGACCGCCCGTGCCATCACCACATGCAAAGGTCTACGAGCCTGGTTCCGCCATCTCATCGACGGGCGCCCTGACGGCCTACTCGGGCGCCAAGACCGGCCGCTCTCCGTTGGACAAGAGGATTGTGAAGGAGCCCTCGTCAGAAAACGAGATCTGGTATGTACTGGCTTTGCCTTGGTATCGCTGCGGGGATGGAGACGTGACACGAGATTTGCTGACGTTTCCTCGTTTGATTCTTCAGGTGGGGTCCTGTCAACAAGCCCATGAGCCCTGATGTAAGACTTCTGTTTTTTGTTCGGTCCCACGCTCTTTGATTTTCTCGCCCACCATTCCATTCTCCCCATCTGCCCGTCTGCCCAGAGGACTCTGTCGCAATCCCTTTTTCCGGCTGCCCGGAAGAGAGGAACGTGGCGCATAGCGTCCGTCGTCATGTCGCCCGTCTCATCTGCACACGCCCCAATGTCGCATTTTGCATTTGCAGGTCGCTGCAATACGTCATTGGCCGGTCAAAACCCATTGTCGCCTGGCGGAGCAAGGCACGAGACCACGCGAATCATGTGTGGCTGCTTTGGCTTTTATTCCTTTGGTTGCAGTTCCCCCTTGATCGGACGCCCCACCTGCGCAGCCCCTGGGCGCTGTCGTAATCAAGCGGCTGGATGCTGTGGGTGGCTCCATTGCCCGTCCTCGCCTTCCCTTGCTGCACCCCACGCATCTGCTCGTTCCAAAGAGCCGGGCGCCAAGCAAGCCACCCCCGCACAATCACGTGTGCCATGTGCTATGGTTCCGCAAAATGTCCTTGCTGACATGTGACATCCCTTACAGGTCTGGAAAATCAACCGCGAACGTGCCATCGACTACCTAAACACCAGGAGCCGTATCTACGTCGTGGACGGATATGCCGGCTGGGACGAGAGGTACAGGATCCGGGTGCGCGTTGTGTGCGCGCGCGCCTACCATGCGCTCTTTATGCGCAACATGCTTATCAGGCCGCCGCGCGAGGAGCTTGAGCACTTCCAGCCCGACTACACCATCTACAACGCCGGCACCTTCCCCGCCAACAGGTATACCGAAGGCATGACGTCGGGTACGTCGGTCGCCATTAACTTTGCCGAGAAGGAGATGGTCATCCTCGGCACTGAGTACGCGGGCGAGATGAAGAAGGGCGTCTTCACGGTGCTCTTCTACGAGATGCCCATCAAGCACAACGTCCTGACGCTGCACTCGTCCGCCAACGAGGGCAAGGACGGTGACGTCACGCTCTTCTTCGGCCTGTCGGGCACGGGCAAGACTACGCTCTCGGCCGACCCCAACAGGGCGCTGATCGGCGACGACGAGCACTGCTGGAGCGAACGCGGCGTGTTCAACATTGAGGGCGGCTGCTACGCCAAGTGCATCGGCCTCTCGGCGGAGAAGGAGCCCGACATCTTTGGGGCCATCAAGTTCGGCTCGGTGCTCGAGAACGTCGTGTTCGACCAGGAGACCAGGACGGTCGACTACGACGACTGCACGCTCACGGAGAACACGCGCTGCGCGTACCCGATCGAGTACATCTCCAACGCCAAGATCCCGTGCCTGTCGCTCAACCACCCCAGCAACATCATCCTGCTCACGTGCGACGCGCGCGGCGTGCTCCCACCCATCTCCAAGCTGAACCGGGCCCAGACCATGTTCCACTTCATCTCGGGCTATACGTCCAAGATGGCGGGCACCGAGGACGGCGTGACGGAGCCGCAGGCGACCTTCTCGTCGTGCTTCGCCCAGCCCTTCCTGGCGCTGCACCCCATGAGGTACGCAAAGATGCTAGCCGACAAGATCGAGCACCACAAGGCCAACGCCTGGCTGCTCAACACGGGCTGGGTCGGCGCCGGCGCCGGCCAGGGCGGCAAGCGCTGCCCGCTCAAGTACACGCGCGCCATCCTCGACGCCATCCACTCGGGCGAGCTGGCAAAGGCCGAGTACGAGACTTACGAGGTCTTCAACCTCGACGTGCCCAAGAGCTGCCCCGGCGTGCCCTCGGAGCTGCTCAACCCCAAGGCCGCCTGGACCGCCGGCACCGACAGCTTCTCCCAGGAGGTCACCAAGCTCGGCGGCCTCTTCATCGAGAACTTTAAGAAGTACGAGTCCGAGGCCACCGAGGATGTCGTCAAGGCCGGCCCGATCGTTTAGGGGTTGTCGCATTCCTTCATCTTTCCGGCCTCCCGCAAGGCCTTTACAGCCCTGTAACTTTTGAATCTGCCTATTTGCTTCTTCCCTTTCACGGCTTTCATGACCTTTCTTTTTCTGTCTTGTTTCCTTGTGTCACCCCAAAAAGAGCCGTCAACTCATGGGACGGACGGAATCATGGATGTGTTTTTTGTTGTCGCAAAATCAGCCTTGTGATCATGTTGAATTCGATGGACGAAGATGTTTCTGTTGAGAGAATCTGCTCAGCTGACGATATATAATTAAATCTGCTATCGTAGTATGGGGATTAAGTCTGAGCCAAAGTGAGCAACGCAACACAGATGGCATACAGGCATTCTTTCTATCATAATGACGTCTATGGTTAGTGTAATACTCTCTATCGGCAGGACGGCTTTTTTGTTTGGTTTCGACCAATCGCATCCTCTTCTTAATGAGCCCCAAGCAAAATCACACCGTCTTCTTCTTGAGGCAGATGACCCAGTTCAGGTGGCCGCACGGCCACATGTGCTTCTCGCTGCCGCTCCGCAGCTCCCACGCGTCGGCGCCGCCCTCGGCGCCGCACGACCTCAGCAGGGCCTCGATCTCGTCTGGGGTGCGGGTGCGCAGGCCCGAGACCCAGCCGTCGACGACGAGCACGAAGGGTATGACGGGCAGCAGGTACGTGAAGATCAGCGCGACGAGGTCGCGCTCCAGAAAGGCGTAGATTGGGGTGTAGAGCAGGATGCCGACGCCGAACAGCAGCGTCGAGAAGAAGGAGTCGACGGTGCGGTGCTGCAGCTCAAAGATGCCGAAGCCGTCGCTCGTCTCGACCGTGTCCTTGAGGATGGCGCGCGCGAGCGGGTCGTTGAAGTGGTGGAAGGCCAGGTTGAAGAGCCGGAAGATCTTGCGCGGCTGGCCAGGTGGCGGTGGTGCGTTGCCGTTGCCGTTGCCGGTCGGCAGGGCCGCGTCCACGGCCGCCGACATCTTGGCGTCGCCGTTGCTGTAGCGTTCCGTCTCTAACTCCGGCTCCGGTTCGCCGGCGACGACGGCAGCATAGGAGGCGGCGGCGGGGCGGCCGCGCAGGCGGTCGAGCAGAGCCTTGGGCGCGGCGGTGGCGTCGACGGGCTCGCGGACGTACGAGACGTGCGGGCTGGCCGCGGCGGCGCGGGCCCACTGGGTCACGTGCGGGTGCAGGTCCGTCAGCACAAAGGGGGCCGGCGCCGTCGCAGCCGGGTCGCGGCGGCGGTTGACGGCGCGCTCAATCTCGGGCGTGGGCCCGCCGGCGCCGGCGCAAAAGTCGACAAAGGCGTAGCCGCCCACGGGGCCCAGGTGCGTCGTCAGCAGGCGCGCCACGAGCTGGGCGGGCGCCGCCGGCTGCAGCACCGGCACGCGCAGGTTCCAGACCAGCGTGAGGCCCGTCTGGACCCTCTGGCGGAGGAAGTCGGGGAACCTGCAGGGCCGAGGTTAGCTGGGCGTATGCTGTGTCGTTTGCCTTGAGACTTGAGGGGGTTGGGCTTGCCATGGCTGGTCGTCTATCTCGAAGTAGTGCCTGCGCGGGAAGAGGATGCTGGTCGCCATGCTGGGCAGCTCAGGGCGGCTGAGGGCGTCCGTATGAAGCGGATTGCCCCGCCTTTTTTCGTGCCTGTGATGTGTCCTGTTGGGTCTTGCTGTGCTTGTGCTGGCTGTGGCTGTGATGTGATTTCGTCCAAGGGGTGTGAGTGGCTAAAAGGTTGTCCAAGGGAGGAAACAGATAAGCGGTACTGTACCTAGGCCCCCTTGTCGAACAGTGTCCATGGAAGGTCTTGGTCGGTAGGCCTCGAGAATCGCAGGGTGAGCGAATATGCGATAAGAAACAAAAAAAGATTAAGGTATATATCGGGTTCTTGACTCAATAGTGACGTCACGTGACACCATCTCCTGCTGTACTCGCTTACACCGTCAAGGGTCAAAAGCTTATGTTCTCTGCACGTTTCCTATCCGAACCCTTCAATGCAGAATGTTCCTCATCCCTGCCAACTCAGAAAGTGACGTGGTTGATATTAACCTGTATTATCCCTGAAGAGTGTAGCTACGCACCTGTATCGTCGGGCTTGAAGCCATACCCATAAAGCAACCTGTCCAACCTAGCAGCCACCGGCCCGCCATGGCGCTGCTCAGTGCCGCCGTGCACTCGTGGCCCCTGGCGGCCCTGGGCCTTGCCATCCTCGCCCTGGCCGTCCGCCTCGCCGTCCGGCCGACCCGGCTCAGGCGCAACGGCATCCCCCTGAGGTGCGCATGAGCAACCCAGGTTCCCTCTGTGATCTGGCCCCTAAAACCAACACGACACCCGTGACAGGAAACCGCGCGGCTCGCTCCCCTTGCTGGGTAACGGCATCGTGTTCCTGCGCCCGCGCCAGGCGCTCTTCTCGTGGTTCAGCCAGCGCGAGCGCGAGTTCGGCCGCGAGACGTACCAGATCTCGGTGCCGACGCTGCCGCCCGGCGTCGTGCTCAACGACCCGGCCAACGTCGACTACGTCTTCAAGAACGAGGCCCTGTTCAAGAAGGGCGAGTTTGTGAAGCGACGCGCCTGGGATCTCTTTGGTCCGTCTCGGCCTCCCCCAGCTCACTTGACTTTTTGGGGGCGGGGATGGCTCTTTGCTGACTGATGACGGTATGATGCCCAACAGGCCATGGGATCATCAATACGGACGGCGACCTGTGGAAGGTGCAGCGCAAAGCCGGGTTGCACTTCCTGAGCGTCCCGAATATGCGCGTCCTGACCGACGTTGCCCTGCCGCGCTACCTCTCGGCGAGCATGAAGTTGCTTGAGCGCCACGCGGACTCGGGGCAGGCCCTGGACATGCAGACCGTCTTTCACGAGATCACGTCCCAGCTCATGGGGAAGATGGCCTACAACGTACGCAAACCGACTTGGCCCTCTTTGCTGTGTCATCACTGGCTTGGCTGACGCTGGCTTCTTGCCTTTGCTAGATGGAAATGCATGCCGACGACGACTTCACGCTGGCATTTGACTACGCCTCGGGCGTGACCGGAGAGCGCTTCCAGAACCCCATGTACACACTGACGGAGCTGTTCACGGGCTCCCGCTTCAGGCGCTCGCTCAGCGTCGTCAAGTCGTACGGCAGGAGCATCGTCGCCAAGGCCGTGCGGGACCGGCAGTCTCCTCCCGGCGCGCAGTCGGAAAAGGACGTGCTGGTGGAGACGTCGGGCAGTCTCATGCAGTCATTTCTGGACTCCATCGGAGACGAGGCCATCGTGGCGGACGCTGCTCTGAACTATCTCTCGGCTGGTCAGTCGCCGTGTGCTCAGCAAACCCCTACACTCGCTGCTTCCTGAAGTGCTCTGTCGCCTGACCCCCTTGATTCACTGTTTAGGCCGAGACACCGTCGCGCAGGCCCTGACCTGGTCACTGTACCTGCTGATGCGCCGGGGCCGCCAGGCCTCGGTTGAGCGGATCCGGGACGAGGCGCGCGACGCCCTGGGCACCGACGGCCTCCCCCGCGACCCCGCGGCCTTCACCCCGGCCGCCATGCCCTACACCATGGCCGTCTTCTACGAGGCCATGCGCCTGTACCCGCCCATCCCCATCGAGATCAAGCAGTGCGTCGCCGCCGCCACCCTGCCCGACGGCACCTTTCTGCCCGAGTCGTCCGTCGTCCTCTGGAGCCTCTGGGCCATGAACAGGTCCCGAGACACCTGGGGCCCCGACGCCGACGACTTCCGCCCGGACCGCTGGCTCTCCCGGGCGTCCGACGACGACGGCGCCCCGCTCGCGTTTGTGTCCAGGGGCGCGTCCGAGTTCCCCGTCTTCAACGGCGGGGCCCACACGTGCCTCGGCAAGAAGATGGCCGAGCTCATTGCGGTGCAGGTCATCCCCTCCGTCGTCTGCGCCTTCGACTTTGGCCCTGCATACGACGAGCGCTGCGAGAGGGTCAGCAAAAACTCGCTGACTCTCCCCATGGAGGGTGGCTTGCCCTGTTTTGTCAAGCGATGCGTGGGCTAGATATTAGGTTATACATGGCGCAGGCGAGGTAGAGCAAAGTCTTGGATGGGACCACAGTGGCAGTAAACAAAAGGCTAGATGCTTTCATTTATCTGTATCTACGTGTGTAGACGCGTGTAGGCTATAAATACATGCGTATATGGAAAACATGAAGAAGGGGCCTATGCCCAGGATGCAGGAGAAGATGCAGTGAGAGATGCAAACATACTGATGGCTTGCGGACAAGAATGGGCACAAAAGGCCCAGACCACATTTTCTGGCATTGTGCCTCATACCCAAGGAAATGAATAGCAACGGCGAGTAGTTTTGTCTAACGCAGATGATGCAAAATGGAAACGACGGGTCGTAAGTCTATGGGGGGAAGGGATTAACCGGCACGCGAATGTGCTGACGGCGTGGGAAACGAAATGCCTATTAGATAGTAGACGAGATAAGATGCGTGGCGGGAGGAGAGTGCTCATGGGCAGTCTACCTCTTGTTGAAATTCAAGAAGCGGCTCTGTAGGGAGACAAGCAGTTAGTAGCGGCACTTATGTTGAAGCAGGACACTAGAAAGGTAAAGTGAGAAGACAGAACATACGGCCATGAACAGAATGATGATGTTGCTGCCCACAAAGGCGATGAAGATGCCGAGATCGCGCCACCTGTTGAGAAAGTCGAAGCCGAGCGGGACGTAGAACTGGTCGCCGACCCGGAAGGCGCAGTAGTCGCAACGCGAAGTGGAGCTGCTGTCGACGATGTAGCCCTTGCCGCTAGCGCTGAAGAAGGGCGCCATGTAGTCGCCGCACGAGGTGCCGTTGGGCGGGGTGAACGAGTTAAGCTCCCAGGGCTGGCAGATGACGGGCAGCTCGTGCAGGGCCGTGGTGACGGTGCCGCCAATGAGGCGCGTGAAGGGGTCGAGCTGGTACAGCCAGCGGTAGCCCTCGGGCATCTGGGTGGACGGGATGGTGACACCGCAGAAGAGCGAGAAGGTGATCATGAGGAAGGGGTCGAACTGGCTCGAGATGAAGGTTGACGGCGTTAGGGCCGCCAGCGCCTGGCCGAGCGTGATGGAGAAGATCTCGGTGATGAACACCATGAGGAACTGGTAGCCCGCGCGGGAGCTCTCGACCTGGAAGCCCGGCATGTAGTAGAGCGGCAGGAAGAAGCCGACGGCGCACAGGATCGAGTAGGGGATCTCGGACACGAGCTGGGCCGCCGCGAAGGTGTACTGATTGTACATCTTGGACGACGACTCGCGGAAGAAGATGGCGCGCTTGACATGGAACATGGCCTCGATCTGGCTGATGACGAGCGCCGGAAGCACCGTAACCTGGAACATGACGAAGACCTTGTACTGCAGCGACGAGCGTGACTCGTCGAGCTGCAGGAACGTGAGGCCTGTCAGGAGAGCGATGACGACGTGGTTGAAGAGGCGGGTGAAGAGGTAGTTGGGCGACCGCCAGAGCGAAATGTTGCTGCGGCTGATGACGACCTTGAGCTGGTGTAAGAAGGGCGACGCGTACTCGCGCTCGAGGTCGGCCTTGCCACCGTTGCCGCTCGCCAGTGCTTGCTGCCGCTCCTGCTTCAGCTGCGAGATGGTGTCCTTGACGTTGGCCAGTTCGGCAGAGTCCTCCCAGATGTCGGCCCAGTCGCGCGACCCAACACGAGGGGCACTACCGGCTCCAAGAGCCTCCAGCATGTACTCGGCCACGTTGTCCGTCGGCTTGGCCTCGGCGCCGTGACGCTTCAGGTAGCCGCGGAGCACAGATGCGTCATTTCCAATATCGCCAAAGTAGACGCAGCGGCCGCCACGCTGGAGGAGCAGCAGACGATCGAAGTTCTCGAACAGGGCAGAGTTGGGCTGGTGGATGGTGCAGAGGATGGCCTGGCCAGCGTTGGCCAGCTTCTTCAGGAAGCGGACGATGTTGAAGGCGCTCTGGCTGTCCAGCCCCGAGGTCGGCTCATCCAGGAAGAGAAGAAGCTCGGGCTTGGCGGCCAGCTCGACTCCGATAGTCACACGCTTGCGCTGCTCAACCGTCAGTCCGAATTCGGGAACGCCAATGATGGCGTCGGCCAGGTCCTCCAGCTCCAGGAGCGCAATGATGTCCTCGACGTAGCTGTACTTTTCCTCCTGCGGAGTCTCGAACGGCTGCCTCAGGTCGGCCGAGAAACGCAGGGCCTCGCGGACAGTCTGCGACGGGTCATGCATGTCGATCTGCTCCGCGTATGATGTAGACCGCTGAAACTGCTTGCCTGGCTTGACACCGTCCACGAGGATGTCGCCGCCGATAACACCAATGTTCTTGCGCGCCGCGAGGACGTCCAGAAGCGTCGTCTTGCCGGCTCCCGAGGCCCCCATCAGTGCAGTGAGCTGGCCGGGGCGAACGTAGCCGAAAACGTCATTGAGCAGCCTGCGAGTTCCGCCAGGGACCGGCACATCGTAAGTCAGGTTCTCCCATGTGAGCACGCTGGTGGAGTTGATCGAGAGAGCCTCCTGGTCCTCCACGGCGCCCCTGGCCGCGCGTTTCGCCTCAAGGTTGGCCGAGAGCTTCTCGTTCAGCGCATTCCTCTCCTCGTTGGGCTTCTGGTAGACACGGGCTGCGTTCCCACCCATGCCAAAGTCGACGAGCTCGCCGAGGACCACGTTCATGACGAGGAAGAAGGCGATCAGTCCCGCCACGATGCCGAAGTTGCGCCAAATGTCCTCTGGGTTGTACGAAAAGCTAGTGCGGATGTAGTCGGAGCCCGAGACGCCGAGAGAGCCTGGCTTCGATCCAGGCAGGGTGCAAACCTGGTGTGCCACGTCCGAGAAGCCAGGTCCCGACGGGACCAGACTTTCGGCTGTGCACGTCATGTCTATGCGGTTGAACTCATTCTCCATCATGGAGCCGAACATGAGGCCGAGTGGGTTGATGTAGTAGATCCAACGCAGCCACACCTGCTGAGACTGGTACTGGATCAGGTAGCCCGACGTGGTGATGAGCAGTGTGATGGTGACGACGGCGAACTTGACGGCGTAGTCGTAGTCGATCGAGACGCAGCCGATGATCCTGAAGAAGAGTGTCATGGCGACGTTGCCCCAGAGAATGAACAGATAGAACATGAAGAAGGCGCCGGCATCCTTGACGAGATTGGTCATGAAGTAGACGATGACGGAGAAGACGAGGATGCGGGGCGCGCCAAACGCTTGATCGACAAAGATCTGTCCGATCCATAGTGCGCTGGGACGGTGAAAAGCATAGGCCTTGTGCTTGTTGACGATGCCGCGGCCCATCATGGTCGAACCGAGCTCGGCAAAGGCCTCGAACGCGTTGAAGAGCAGAGAGATGAACATCAGACCTCCCTTGCTGAAGGCGGACGCCGACGTTTGACCGAGGTTGAGATACAGAGTTCCGAGGACGATAGCGACGATGATGGTGCGGAACCATGACAGGAAGAGCGCCAGGCGGTCCTGCAGCTTGAGCACTGTCTGTCGCTTCATTAGGGCCCACACCTGCTGGTGGAAGCCAACCGAGTAGACAGTCTTCTCGGCTCCAGTGCGCTTGCTCTCCTTGACGGCAATTTTGAAGTCCTCGTGCTTTTCCGTCTCAACCTTGAGTGACTCGTTGTAAGCGTTCATCTCCTGGTCTAGGCGCTTCGAAATCTCGGAGTTCTTGAAAGCCTCGGCGAGGGTGCCAGGGCTGTGGGGAGCGTTTTCAGCCGAGTAACCTTCGGCGTAGCCCCTTTCGTACTCGTCAGTGCAGCCAGTCACATAGTCGGGGGTGGTCTGGCGCGGCCGGGCGGCGAAGCCGAGTCCTTCAAAGTAGGCTCGGGCCTCGGTGGCCGGGCCGAAGTAGACCTGCTTCCCAGAGTCGATAACGAGCACCTTGTCAAAGAGATTGTAGATGTTCTCAGAAGCCTGGTACAGCGATACGAACGTTGCCGTCTTGTACAGGTTAGTCTGGACACGAAGAGACTTGATAAAGTCGAGGGCGGTGCTAGCGTCAAGACCACGAGTACTGTTATCCCAAGACAGGATCGAGGCCTCGGTGATCATCATCTCTGCGACCGACACGCGCTTCCTCTCACCACCAGAAACACCGCGCACAAGGGCACCACCGACGACGGTGTTGCGCGTGTGCTCAATGTTGAACATCTTGAGCAGCATCGTGATGACGTTCTCCTTGAACTGAGCCCTGGTGATGCCGGCAGGCAACTTGGCCGGAATCTTAGTGTCGAGCGCGAACCCGAGCGTTTGCTCAACCGTGAGGGTCGCATGGTGAATGTCGTCCTCCTGGTTGTACACAGCCTCTTGGCGATACACCTTGAACTCCTCGTCGGTGAAGGGGCCGTAGCGCACATCTCCGGTGACGTTGGTGTAGCCGTAACGCTGGTTGGTGATGGTTTTGAGGAACGTGGTGCACCCAGACCCCGGCTTTCCCAGCACCAGCACCATCTCACCCGGCTTGCAGACGCCGCGGAAGTTGTCAAGGAGGGTGACCTCGGTGCCCTTGGCGTTCAACCCGAGCATGTTCTTGATGGGCGACCACACGTTGAAGAAGTCGACGACGACATCGGGGAAGGTCTGGACAAAGTTGGACATACCACCCATGCCCTTGACAGTGAAGTCGTTCCAGTACACGCCAATGTGCTTGGGGCGGATGCCAGCCTCGCGCTGGGCAGCGATGCCGCTACGCAAGTATGACTCCAGGTCAAACCTCTCGCTCTCCGACGACGAGGACTTCTCAAGATCTCCCGCGCTCTTCTCAGCATCGTTCTGGTGCTGGGACGATCGGCTCTTGACGCGGCTGGCCCTCGACAGACCCGTGAGTTCGCGCTGCAGGTCGGCAAAGTCGGCTTCGGCCTGTGCAACGGAGACCCCTGACTCAACGTTGGATGTGCCATTCGGGTTGTTGCGCCGCGCTTCCTCGCGCATCTCCTCAACGTTCGTGGTTGATGAGGAGGGGATCGAGTACGCCGAAGATGTTTGCGTTGTAGCCACCTCCTTCCCCTTCTCCTCTTCCTTGGAGTGATCGGCCATGACAGCAGGAGGATGCGGCTAGTCACGGCTACTCCTAAGGGTCGGCTATTGATAGTCGGTTGTGGGCGACAGAGACGGCAACGAGATATGAGGGGGTATACCAGGGATTTAAATAACAAAAAAAGTCAAGTGCGGGCCCACGCCCCGGGTTTGCGGAGGGAAAGCGCAGGGCAATGACGGATGGGGCTTGTCGACGACGCTGTAAGGCTGCAAGACGCGGGCGTTGGCGATGGCCCTGGTTCGTTTCGATACTGGCCTCGAGGAAACAGTCGAGCAGTCGAGCAGGTCCCAATAACCTCACTCTCTGGGGTTAAAGGAAGGTAATAGAGGTAAGGCCGTGACCAACAACACAAGGAAGACGGGCCCGGCAGTCTGTGATGGGGGAACATGTATGTGTATTAGTACGGGAAGGGCAGGGACATAATAACGGGCTTGTGGACCCCCCTGCGTGCTGATTTTATTACCCAGACTCGGAGATAACGGAAAGAGTCAAGGCCCAGATCCACCGCCAAGACGTGGAAGCAAAAACAGGCAGCGAAAGGGCGGCGATCACGTCAACTGAATAACGTTGACGGGCCAGGATGTCTGGCTCCGGAACACCGCGCTAGTCGTGCGTACGGAGTAGGGAAGCCGACAAACAACCGACGGACCAACATGGTGAATGGCGGCGGCGGCGGATGGAGCCTAGCGACCTAGCTGGCTGGGTGATTATGACAGGAAATGATACATACTTGATCGTGCTGCCGTGGTACCTACTCGCGGGACCCTCCCAAAGGCCCACCGATCCCCCCTGGGGAGGCCATCGCCAAGCCCCATGCCGTATTTGTAATACGGCTCACACCCTTGAGCCCTAGCGCTCTTTGGACGCGGGAGGTGTGGCAAGAAACTGGCATGTTGGCGGCCGGAGTGTGAAAAGTAACCCGAGGCCGGCGGGGCCTGCCACTCTCCCTCCACCGCTCCCTGGTTAGGTTCCCTGGGGCCTCGCGATGGGGAACCTTGGTCGCCCGCCGTGATGCGATTGAGTCGGACTCTGGAGGACGCAGGGCGACCGACAAAATATTTGAGATGCCTAAAGAGGAATCCCGATCAGTGAAAAGGGGGGATTGGAAACGCAAAGGCGGTCCGCAACACGATGATGGTGGGCTCTCCCCCACACCCGCAAGCTGCTCAGTCAACCCACGAGACAAGCAGCAGAAGCGGCATGGCGGGGTTTACTGGGACATTAGCCCGGAAAATGCAAACACTTTGACCGGGCTTGCCGCCGCCAGCGCTGACCTGCGGCCGGGTCTGGAGCTTGACGTCAAACTTGCTGGTGACTCAGGCCGGCGTGTGCATCGCGTCGGGATATGCTGAAGGGATATGATGGAGGGATCTAGATTGTCGAGTAGCCGCCAAGTGTGATGGAGGGGCCAAGGTAGTGCAGCACAGGCACAGTCAGTCTCTCTCGTTATTCCCGGCAGTAACCTCCTCGGAGACGGGATGATTACCGCGTGGCGCTCCGGGCTTCTGGAAAGCGCACCCGACAGCTCAACGCACAGTACGAGCAAGCTAATCGCACCTGCAGCCCGCGAGCCCCGTTCCATCGAACCTTCCTGCCTGTGCCTGTCCCACTGCCCGTTTCGTTTCAACTCCCGACCGGGGCCGGAGCGTCGGATGCACTACCCCGACTCCGACCCTTACAAACCCGCGGTGTGCGATGTTGCCGGGGTACCCGACAATATCCCTCCGAAGCTGCCTGCCGGTATGGCACACGCGCGTTCCGAAACCGACCGCCCCAGGACAAAAAAAAAAAAAAAAAAAGGCGCGATAAGCCCGCGAACAGCCCGACGTCAAAGCCTAGTGCACGGCATGGCCAACATCACGTGGTAACGCCACGCATCTGCACCTGCACAAGAAACGCTCTTGACCCTTGCGCAACGGTGGTGAGATACAGGGGTTATATGGGCCTGGCTGCAAAGTTTCTCGGGCTGTGGGAGCTGGAGATGTCGGGTGCCTGGACTCGCTTCCACCAGCATCGCTCCTTGTGTGCTCGGTAGTTGTGTAGGTAGCCTACCCGTAAAACACCACCATGCCCCACACACGCTTGGAATTGAAACAAGCAGACAAACTTGCGTCGTCTCGGAGAAGGACACAGGGTTGGCGGTGGTAAGCACACCTGGTGGATAAAATGACACCTCAGATGTGGCGCGCACAAATGATGGAAGAGAGCTTGGCTTGGCAGCAGCAGAGGACTCTGAACCAAATTAGTCATAGGCGGCTTTCCCGTCACTGGAAGATGTGCCGAGCACAACTAGACACCAGGGGTATACCAGATCGGTCAGCTGCAGCCAAGTTGATGCGCCGCCATCTGAGGTGTACATATAATTACGCAATCTATCTGTTTTGTAAGCGTCTTTGCCCTTCGTCAGCCGCCATGGTGCAAGTAGCAGATGAGAAAGATCGAGGGTCGCAGTCGAGGCCGGGGGAGGCGCAGAAACAGCTCGGCCGAGACTCACTGTCAGCGAGGCATCACAGGCCCAGCGCCCCCCGCGGCACAGAATCAAAGACTCGTTCGGCACCTTATCTTTTCCATCCAGGGTCCCACCTCTCCTGCACAAGAAGAAAGAACAAAACTCGAATGCCCCCCCGTTTAACGCAACGCCAATATCATACATTTTAACCGGGAACACGTATTGTATGGCAGAGACACGCACCTGCACGACGGCCACGACCAAACTACAGTTTTGCGTCGATACGTGGGTAGTTGCGCAATGAGCAGCAGGCAAAACGCCGACCAATGCAAACAAAACACCGATGATCGTAAGGAAAAAGACTGAGGGAGGAAGGAAAGAGGACAAAGAGGACAAAGAGGCAAAAGGCAGGACACGAAAACGGAACAGGTATACTCAAGGCTCGAGAGATCGCATATCAACCGTGACGAGACCTTTGCTCCGACATCTAAATTCACGCTGCCCTACCCTGCCTGCCCACGCGCGCTTCCTCTGCTTGTTGTGCTCCAGTATGATTATCACGGGGCGTTTGAGACAGGTCGAGACAACCAGGACATCTGCATACGTCCGTCACGTCACGATAGTCGTCCGTGCAGCATGACAAGGGGTGGGAAATCAGACCGAGCGCGCAGATGGGCGTGAATCCAGTCATAGTTCTGACTCGGCGCCGTTGGCCTCTACTGTCATTGGGCTCCCGTTCTGCCGCCTCTGCTGTTGCTGTTGACGAAGGCGCGAGTTGCCCGGTGGCCGTCTCCGTGTCGCCAGGCGTCCATTGCCACTGCCAGTTCCTGTGGCGCTTCCGTTGCCGTTACCGTTCATGTTCATGCTCTCGTCGTCGTCGTCGGAGTCGGGTTGTTCCTCGGCGAAACGGCGAGCCTCGTCCAGCTCGTTGACCACGTCGTCGGGCTTGTCGCGCAGCCACTGCATACGAGGCCCGGATCGCGCCATCTCCGACACGCGGAAGCCGTAGATGCGAGGCTCGTAGATCTTGCCGCGCCCCAGGCCTGGCGCAACGTTGCGCGCATGCATGCCATTGATTACGCTGCCGCCGCCGTCATCCGTCAGGCGCATGCTGCTACCCGAGTGCGAGCCCGCCAGCACGTCTGCCCCGTGCTTGCTCAGGTCAAACTCGGGGAAGGTGAGCAGGAAAAGAGCGCCAAAGGTCCGGCCGAAAAATGCGCCGTCAACTGTCTGAAAGCGGCTGTTGGGTGGGACGTAGACATCCAGGCATGATGGGCAGAACAGCTTGACGGTTCCTGAGCCCGGAATGTCCGAGAGACCGACGGGCAGGGTCCTAGCCATTCCACAGTTGGTTCGGGGGCAGTGGCCAAAGTGGCCGAGCTCGTACTTCTCCGACATTTGCTGTATTCCAGCTCGCGAGCATATAAACCTCTGATGGATCAGGCCGTACAACAGCTCGGCCGAGGACTCGATGACTGATAGGTCGCTCGCTATGCGGCTGTGGTGCCGCCGCTCGCCGTGATGCCTCGAGCCGCCGGCATCGCCGGATTCGTCAATCTCGTCCTCCTCGTCTTCATCCTCGTCGTCTTCGTCATCCTCGGGCTCGACATCCAATATCATCTACGAGCGCACAGAGCACGGCCACGGTTAGTTTACCTTCGGGACGCGCCGGAAGCAGTCAAGGAGAGCAACATGACGGACGGGCCGCACAGGGGATGATGGCAAAAATGGCTTACCTCCAAGGCCTCCTTGTACATTGGGACCTGTGTCTGCAGGCCCGTCAGATTAAAGTCGTCCTCGATAAACTCCTCTGATACCTCGGCAAAGTACTCGTGGCCAATCAGATTGCAAAAGGAGGATATCCATGATTCTGGGGTCCCCGAGGACGATGACATGATGGGCGGCGCGTTGTTATCGTGGCGAAGGTGGCGGTGGGAAAGGCGTGCCACGGGATTGAGAGGTCGTTGGCGACAAGTCCCGTGCGTGTGTCTAGTGGCGGGAGAAGGCGGAGATGGCTGGGCTTTCTGTGCCTGAAAGGGGAGACGGGTGGAATCCCGGGGCCGGACGCGCGCTTCGTGATGTTCAGCGGGGTAATTGTGTAGGCATGATCGTCTCGACGAGGGCGCGAATGAGGCTGATCGAGGTGGTTCGCCGGTGGGACTATAGCGTACGCTACCGCGATGGCTGGCTGCTAGGTGCTGAGGGTCGCAGCTTAAATATTGCAGGGACGGGTACGGCGGCTCGCTTTTCGTCGTCAGTCGGGCTATGTCGCGTTTTGCGCCGCGAGGTTTTGCTCAGATCCAAAGGGAGAAATCCTGTCCGTTTTGGGTCGTTGCCATGGATGGTGGGCGGTGTGGCCCGTGCAGCGAGGTTCGATGAGGCTGTGTCACGTGCTTTTTCACTGTCATTTTATCATTTGGTATGAGACTCTTTTTTAGTTTAATTCATTTTTTATCCAGGTGCATTTGTTATTCTCTCATACTTCGGTTTATCTTACGAATACTCCCGAAACCGAATTGGCCGCTCAGTAAAGTACGCCCTTTTATCGCTGGTCTTTGGAGAGGAGAGACAAGGCGAGGAGTGATGAGACATGGGGCGAATTAGGTATGGGATAAGAACGAGATCGACGCTGGGGGGGAGACCACCAATAGTAAAACAAGCGATCACTCGGACCACTCGATGACGCCTCATGCTTTGCGCCCGCACCCCTCTTGGATCTCCTCCGCCTAGAGTTCGCATATTATTCTTTAGTCTACTTTTGAACCCTCGTTTCCGGACATGCAGTCTGTGCCATGGCGGTGTCTTGGCCGGCATCTCGCCAGCTCGTCTCCCCGAAGCAGGTTCACACTCACTTTGGAGCAATTCAGAGACCAATACTTTATGCCGGAATTGCCCCTGATCATCGAACAGGACCAGAAATCTTCCAGTCGTCCTCAGGACTCGCTTAGCCCGTCCTTTCCGAGGGTCCACAGTCTCTGGTTCAAACACGCTCACTTCGCGTCTGCCGTGGTCAACGTGGCTGTGGCAGGGCAGCAGACATGCTTGAACAACGTTGACCAACTCGGGCCCCGTCTGCAACAGGATGCAGTTGTCTCAACACGCCTCCCATATGAACTCATGGTCTCGTCTCGGGATCTCGACATTTTGCATGAATTCGACTTGTGGATTCGCGCACTCAAAGATGACGACCATGCAACCTGGATCGCCGAAACAGTTGCTCGGGCTATTTCTGCAGAAGGACAGCTGCTAGGAGACGACGGCGCTGGCGGCCCTCGGGTGGTCCGGTTCGAGGCACCGCTCAGGTTACTTTTCCTGGCAAGCGCGTTTAATTGTGCCAGAAGCCGCGCCCGCGGCTCAACGCCACTGTGTCGTCTCTACATAGCCCAAGCCCCCATCTCAGATCTCCCCCTAGAGCTACAAGAAGACTTGCCTGTCCCTGAGCTTGTTCTTCAGGCAGGTAAGGGTGATGTATATGGCACCAGCATCTGGATGGGCCTGGCGCCGACATATTCTCCCTGGCACCGAGACCCAAACCCAAACCTATTTCACCAGCTATATGGCGGCAAGACATTTCGAATCATGCCTCCAGCTCCTGGCGAGCAGCTGTTTAGGGAGGTCCAATCACGCAATGGGCTGGTCTCCAACCCCCGGATCCGAAGCATGGGCATGTTCCAGGGTGCTGAGGCGTCCGCTCTCCGCGAGGCCATCTGGGGACCGACGTCAGGGCACCTCCCGGGGCTTCTCGAGGCACGGTTACGTCCCGGAACTAGCCTTTTCCTGCCCGGGGGCTGGTGGCACAGTGTCCAGAGCGAATCGGGGGACGGGATGCTAAACGCCTCTGTCAACTTTTGGTTCCGATAACAGATGTCACACCGAGAGACAGCTTTGGCAAGGGGATATCATTGAGATTTTAGAATGCAAACTGGGGTGCAGTAGCCTAAGGCTGTCGGCAGGACGCATCTCCCAAGGCCCTATTTCGCTGGCATAAAATGATGAGAGGGTTCATGGTCAGGAGGAATGGGGTTGCCACCGATCTCTCACAAGTCTAGCTTTCGGGACACACGCACACCCGGGCTTGCGTAACGCACTTCAAGTCCTCCTCCCTGATCGCCACTCGCAGAAGAAACAGAAAAGACCCCATTAAAAATTAGTGTCGTCGACCAGAAGCTTTACGACTCGGGTGCGGGCTCGATTGTCTGTGTCTTGGCCTTCTCGGTAGTGATAGGTGCACCTGTCGCCGGAACTGTGCCTGGGACGGCAGCTGGGGTTGTGCTCGTGCCGGGGGCTCCAGCGTCGCCAGCAGCGTTCTTGGGCTTCTCAGCACCAAAAACCTTCTCGAAGCCAGAGGCCTTGTATGCGCTGCCGCCGGCTTCCTCAGTCTTGAGATCGGCGAGGCGTCGGGCCTCGGCGTGGATATCCTGGACCTGCCGCTGGGACTGTGTGTAGAAGTCAACGACTCGCTTGCCGGTGGGCGTGTTTACAGCCTTCTCGAAGTAGGAGCTGAGTCCGGTGAGGAGGCTGTTCGCACGGCTGGTGATGCCGTAGCTCTGGTCCGCAGTCTTGGCCCGGTCCGTTGCGTGGTATTTTTGGTCAAGGTTGGTAAGGGTTCCAAGGAAACGGGAAGAGACGCCATGCTTGTGGTCCAGCTCGATTGCCGACTGCAAGGCAGCATCGCCGACAACATAACCGTGGGCCAAGTACTCGGCCAGAATGCGAGAGCGGGGCTTCTCCTCCTGGGTTATCTCATCCGAGTCCCGCTCGGCGTTGTCCTTCTCGTTGTGGGCGTCATCCTGGAGAGACTCGGCCGAAGAGGTGACCGAGATGTGTGAAGGGCCGAGTTGCGTGTTGTTGAGCAGCAGAGCGGTCTTGGCTGCCGTCTCCTTCTGGAAGATGACAGTGGCGCTCTTGGTCTCGCCCTCGGCGACAACCTGGAGGTCCTCGATCTTTCCGCTGAAGGTTTAGTGTCGCTGTCAGCCAGCTATTCCAGTCAAGGACAATTCGAGTCTGCACACAAGACGCTTACCAGAATGCAAAGAAATCACGGATCTCCTTGTCGGCGGTCTTGGCCGAGATGTTCTTGACCGTCACTGTGTTTGGGGCCGACATGATGCTTGGTGTATCGAGAAGGCTCGATTGATTCGAGATGGCAACGGTAGGAGAAAGGCCTACGGATTCTTAAGGGTTTGTCGGGGAGTTGGGAGCAGGAGCTTGATGGAGTGGAAGAGAACGACTGGAAGGTGGGATAAACGACGGGTCTTGGAGGGGAATGGAGTTTTATGGGTTTGGGATCAGTACCTGTGACCAGGCAATGAATGGCGTGGATGAGTTCAGGCTTCGGGGTTGCCCAAGCCGGATGATCGCGTCCACCTGGTGTGAGACCAGAGCTACACGGGGAGGGGCGACTCAAACGTCATCGTTTTGGCGAGCTGGGGTGGCAGATGCAACATGGATAAGGAGGGGCAAGTTCTGGAACAACCGCCGGTCGCTGCGCCACATCTAACTGACGACTCTCCACCCTCCCATGGAAAGCACCTGCCCGGTGCTCCTGCCTCGGCAGCGGCCTAAATCCTCCTCCACCTACAGACAGCGCGGAAGGGGCTCCGTGGCCCCAAATTGCCCCTTGGAGGCCTGCGGGTGCCAGCAAGGAAGGTCGTTTCCGTGTCAAATCCCCCGCTCGCACACAAGCGCGTCAGCCTTGTATACGCATGCGTGCCTGTTGCGTGGCACTGTGGCGCAATTGTATGTGATTGATTGTCTTTGAGAATCAAGTAGAAATCGCAGGTTTTTATTACAATGGGAGCCCGCTCATGTGGCAGTATCTTGTGGGCTTTGGTTGGAACTCTGCCAGGGAATGCATTTACTTCCCATCCGAGATCAACCTAAGCAGTCCTGATTTCCCTCCCACCAAAAAAGCGAAGACAATGAATACAAAGAAAACCGTATGATTTCATCCCAATTTCATGCTTTGGGTGGGCCATCGGTCTTCTCCTTGACGGCATCGTCAAGGGGTCCCTTTGGGTTCGAGCTGAGGTTCTACAAGTCCTTATCGTGAGCTAAGTGCTTGCAGCAGAGGAGACTTCCATAGACTTGGTATGATGTACCTGGAGCTGGTCCGTGTTGGCTTGGCCCTTGTTCTTGGGGGTGTCGTCCAGGCCTTGACCTGTGCCCGGGGCTGACTTGAGCTGGGCGTCTGTCTGGGTCTCGGGAGGGGGAGACTGGCGGCCCTCTGTGGAAGACATTGTGCTAAGATTGAAAGAGACTGGTGGATTGTTGATTTGGGTGCTAAGGCTTGCGGCGGGAGTTGCTCAGATGATTTGCTTGAGGTGAGATGAGTTACGAGGGCGAGGTAGATATGTGAGAAATTGAGATATGGGGTTGAGTTAAATACCGAGGAAGGTATCTGCGGCAACGGGTAGATACTGCAGATATTGAAAATCCGCGGCAGCTTCGTTGAGGGACATCCCGTCGTCATTCGTTGACATCAGAGCTGTAAGCACCACTACATCATGACATCACCACCGGACTGTTGCAGGTGGCGGCCGCACACAGGCTCTTGCTCTCCACCATGAGCTGTTCATCAAGATGCGATAGGATAGCTAGTCGCACGCTTATCCAATAAGGTGGCACCCGGATGTCAGGCTAATTTTGCTAGACCTGCAAAAATCCCATTCGATCAACTGAATGTCCCACAGCCTCATGTGTGACATTCCCCTCAACAACAGCTGGAGCTCGATTCTATCCGAAACGGGAGCTTTCTGGTGTTGTGGCGATGGGCAGGCCCACTCAACCTGCAGCCTGTAGCATCCATGTTAGCTCCCTGCAGGCGGCCGTTAGGCACCTAATGGGAGTCACTTAGTGCTAGGTGGTTCCCCACAGCGCTACGCAGACCTGTGCGTGGGGGCCGTTGTGCTCAGTGCTGGCGACCTGGAGGTGGAACCGCATCTCTTAGCGGCCCCTCCCAGCGACCTCCGCGCTCAACCTGAGCAGCAGTCGCCGGATCAAGCCATCCCGGTTGATGATATCGCGACGTGTCTTGGGATTGCATAAACAATCAAATCATCCGACGGCCACCGAGTTGCCATTGCCAGCTCTGCCTGGCCGCGAGGCCGCCCGTATCGGTGTGCCTAGGTATGCAGTGTATTTCGCATATGGCCGCGTCTGATTTGGCCTCTTCCTTCATTCCATCCGTCCGCGCGCGGTACGGCGACTCCCGCATCTGAAACAGTTGAGCCCGCCTCCGCTGCCGTGTGCTGCACTGAGCAGTGAGCCAGTTCCCTGTCCGCCCACAGACAATTGAGCGTTTACACCAAAGCTCCAGGGGTGGCACAGGTATTCATTCCCCACCTCGCCGAGATGCCCGACCTCAATAGCGTCCCGCCATCGCCCCGGGCCCTGGCTGCCACCCGCCAGCAGCCGCCCTTGTATAACGCCATGGCTCCGCCGCCCGCCCCGATACCATCCGCCCCGAGCATTCTCCCGTCGAACCAGCCAACCGCCAACACGATGGCTTCTTCTTCCCCTGCCCTCACCTCGCCCAGCCTTCCGCCAGCGGCTGCCGTTGCTGGCCAAGACAACACGGGCGTCGGGCCTGGACCAGGACCGCTTCGACATCCTCGGCCGCTCACCGCCGCAGAGCTTCATATGCAGTTGGAAAAAGAGCAGGAGGCTGTGGTTAGTAGCGTTGCCGCCGCCTGCTTTTCAATAGTTTTTACCTCTGATGATGAGACATTGCAGCGCTGACCCGAAACTCAACAGGTCAACCGCCTCACGCGAGAGCTGTCGCTCCTGCGCGCTGCCCAGAACGCCTCGGTTGTTTCCAACACATCATCTACATCTGCCAGCGGAGCCGACGGGACCCCTGGGCCGGACCTCATATCGGGCGCGGGTTTCTCGATTCCCTCCTCGACCGGTCGTCAACACAACCGCACATCTTCGAGCGCGAGTGCCCGGAGCCAGGCCGCCCTGATGAGCACATCGTTTGGCGCCAGCTCTATGGTCGGCGCTGCCTCGGGCCCGCTGCCAGCTCAGGCGGGCCGCCCATACGGAGGTAGCCTGAGCAGGCAGAACAGCACCGCCTCCCGCCGGAGTCGCGCCAGCTCCCCCATCCATGCCACGCACGCCGCCGCACAACCTCAACCGCACCACCCACACTACCCACCCCACCACAACCACCACAACCACCACCAACATAGCCCGGCGGACCCACTCCCAGGGGCCGGATACTTCCACCGTGCTCAGCCAGGGTCAGGGCCAACTCCCTCGGAGTTGTCCCCCGGGCTGATGCCAGCAACTAGTCGGTACGAGGAGGTGGCCTTCTACCGCTCCGAACTAGACTCGGCCAAGCGAGAGAACGACATCCTCCGCCGCCGTATACGTGAGCTAGAGCGCGCTGTCCGCGACCGCAGAGCAAGCGATGCCAGCCGCGCCCGATCTGAAAGCGCCTCGACGAGCGCTAGCGTGGCAGTAAGCGCTGCGGGCGCTGGAGCAGCCGGGGCCGGTGCAAGCGGCGGCGTGGCGATTGCGGGCCGGCGGGAAGGCGCCGGACGTGAGGGGGTGGCCAGCTCGTTCAGTATCGCCGGTAGCGTCGGAGTCGGCGTTCCTGAGGACGAGGTGTGCGTCGGTGAAAGCGCCGCCAGTGCCGGGCTGAGGGCACAGCCCGCCTCTTGAACATACAAGGGAGCTACTTTGTTGGCTAGCTGGATACAGAGTGTGGAACGACTCCCGGGACGGTTGGCGACCAGATGCGGTGGCACACCACCCTGGTTTCACGATGGCTCCTGGGGCTGTCTTCTCTCTAAATCCGATTGCCGCCGGATTTACTATCTTGCACAGGCTGTTTTTGTCTCTATCTCATCTTCTTATTCTTTGCCTTCGTGATGTTACTTTTAGAAGCCTACAGGTGTTCAAAATTAGCGGATATTTCGCTCCTGGTTGACTCTGGTATTTTCTCCTTCCTTTGCCTGCTGATCCGCTGTCATCCAGCCGTGTCATAGGATATCTCTCTAAAGAGCTAGTGTTTGCGGTGAATCAAGAGGCATGCTTTACGAGCTTGGCCTGGGGAGGCGTGGCAACGGCTAATACAATACAACTGTTCTTTACAAGTTCCACCCGGTTTATGTGTTTGTAGGATTGTTTGGACTGCCGTAAAAGGGACATAAAGGCACACGATAGTTACATTCAAGCCATGTGCCGAATCTCCCATCTTGTCAGTGCTTTCCTTGGCATCTTGCTAAAACAAAAATGGCAGTTTCAGCGAAAGATATTCGTAGGTCCGCCGGTTGAAAAAGGAGCGGGCATACGTACTGTGCCATTCATGCCACCTCACTGTATAATTCGCACGAACCCATCGATCAAACAACTTCGACATCCGCATCACGTGAACACCCGAGCGGCAACCTCAAGTTTCGCGTCCCTCCCCCGTTGTTGCTTTTACCTCCCTTCCGCCCCACCCGCCCGCGGCGCGTCTTCGTGGACCCCCGACACTTGCATCCCGGCGACCCTCTTGGGTGTCTCATTGCGCTCGGCTATTTTACGCACGCATTTCCTTCAGCAATTATCGGAACCTCCAAATCTCATCTCTGCACTGTCAGCTTAGGCCCGCCCCCGCGCGCCGATAAGGATGCCTCCGGTCGTGCCTGCTCGAGGCGGCCCCCGCGCCCATGTCGCGGCCCCGGTCGCCAACATGGGCGGACTGGGAAAGCTGTCCGGCAAGCGCCTGCTGCAAAACACGGGAGGGAAACGGCATCGGTTAGTCGTACCCGTGGGGGTTTCTCTCTCTCACGCGTCGGCGACGTTATGCTAACATGTGCCTTGCCACAACAGTAAAATCCCCAAGGATTGCATCCTGGGAATCAGTAAGTTTGCGTGATGATATGGCGCTCTCTTGAAGGCGCATGCACTAACTGAAACGTCTGCGTGGCTCACCAGCCAAGCCCGACATCCGGTAAGCTAAACAAACAATTAATTACGCGCTGGGAAGTTCAGCGCTGCTCTCCTCCCGGGCGCACTCTTCGCTAACGTGGCGCATATCGCGCCCTTCAGCCGTCTTGCTCGTCGCGGTGGTGTGAAGCGCATTTCGGCTGTCGTCTATGATGACGCCCGCGCCGCCTTGAAGGCATACCTTGAGCAGGTAAGAATCCCGCCCCGATGTTGGCAAATAGGGTTTCGAATGACCAACGCGCAACTCCCCACCAGGTTCTCAAGGACTGTGTCGCTTACTGCGAACACCGGCGGGCAAAGACGGTCACTGTACATGACGTGAGTATTTTCACATATCTAGCCTATTTGTGACCTTCCCGCCCTTTGGCAAGCTAACGCTGTGATTCAGGTCATCTTCTCCCTCCGGCGGATTGGTCGACCGATATATGGGTTTGACCCGGATACATATGTCGCACCCCGGAAGAGGGTTGCGGAGCCAGCTGATGCGTAACTCAACGGGCTAAGCCTTGTGGAACCAGGAGACAAGTCGACTACACTTCACCTGGGGCATCTTCATTTTGCGGTTGGCGTTCGGTGTCTTATTTCCTCATGCAATGTTGCTTCCTTTTGGCATGCCCCCGTTGTATTCCTGTTTTTTTGTTCTCATTTGGGGGCTTTTTATACCAAGGGACAATTGTGTGGCGTTCGGGTGCTGGAGGATGTGTGAGGGGTTGTGATCATTTGATGACTGGATCCTGCCCAGATAGGCCTGTGTCGCCATACCTCGGGCCTAATGGCCCTTGGGGCCGAGAAGGAAGTCGCAGGAGAATCTATCTGCAGGCTGCCTTGGTTTATCGCCCTCTAACCCCACATCCAGGAAGGCAACAGAAGCGGTAGCACCAATAAGTTTGTGTTGGCATTACTTGACCGCGATGAAACCTATGCCATTCCTTGCGTCCCGAATGGCCTTCCGAAGAGCCTGATCTTCTTCATCCGTCCACTTAACCGAGAGTTGATCCCACTTCATGCCTGGGGTGTTGTACTCGGCCTTGAAACGAGCTTGCTGGGTCCGGAGCCGCTCCATCTCCCGGGGGTCTCCGGAGCCGCTGAAGAGCATGAGAGCCGTGCAGGGCGGGAGCGCCTCGTGGATGCGGGTGATACGCTGGGCCAGGCTCGCCACGGCGACCTCGAGCACAGGACGCTGGTCGCCTGCCCCGTCCTCGCCGTGGAAACCCAGACGTTTCTCGAGTTCATGCGCCGAAGGAGGCCTGTTGGCCTCGTTGCTTCCCGCCCTGGTGTTGTTCCACCAGCCCCTGAGAGCCTCGAGCTCCCGCATGCGCGCCCACACAAAGTCCACACCGCCCGCCCGTATCTCCTTCCCGTCGGCGTCGCCCTGGACGGCGCGCACGATGCCAGCCTCAACAGACGCGTCCGACTTGCAAGGTATGAATATGTCGGCATCGTTGTACTGGGACCAGCCGGCGTCGCCCCAGTCGACGGCGGCTGTTGACTTTCCGGAAGCGACCCCTCCCGTCGCACTAGGGCCGGCTTGGGCTCGGTAGGCGGTGCCGGAGCGACGGAGCCGCCTGAACAACGTCTCCTTGGTTTCGCCTCCTATGCCCCACTCCCTGCCCTTCTCGCACTTCTTCTTGACGAGATCCAGCGCCGTGAGCGCGTCTTCGTGGCTGTCGTGTCCCTTGCTGGAGCCCTCGTTCATCTGCACTTGTCGGTTCAGGAACTTCGAGGCTAGGTGCTTGAGCGAGTGCTTCCCGTTGGGGGCGCTGGGGTTGGGGAAGAGAATCGACGTGTCGACCACGAACGGGTGCGCCAGCTGCAGGGCCTTGAGGTCCGAATCCAACGAGTGCCCCACGAGTATCGCGCGGGGGTGCAGGAGCTCGAGCATGCGCTTCTGGATGTCGGCCAGCGTGGTTGTCACTGGCTCGAGCATCTCCTCGGTGATACCGGAGAAGCGGGTGAGGTAGTCGAGGATGGGAAGATCCGGCTTGACGAGCTCGTCCATAACGACCTCGCCGTCCCAAGCGAGAACCGTGATGCGGGTGAGGGACAGGTCGTTGTTTGTTGGTCCCGTGCGGCACATCTCGCAGTCGATGGCGAAAATCTCGCGGCCGGCCGTGATGCTTCCCTGCTCGATCTCAGCCTCGGGAACGTCGCCGTCCTGCAGCTTGTTAACCGTAGTATGCACCCAGCCGTCGGGGTCCACGAAGGCCCGGCGGCTCTCCTCGTCCGAGAGCATGGCTGGGTGCAGCGAGAACTTGTGTTCGATGTACTCCTGGGGGGTTGAGACGAATTCTGATATGCGAGTGCGCACGTCCTTCCACCCCGGCTTGTCCTGCACGAGGCGGGGGCCCTTTTCTTTGGATTTGGGGAGGGGTACCATCAGCATGGTCGTCACTGGCGAGTGCATCCTGGGCACGGAGCCTCTCTCGTCGGCAGTTGCTCTGACTGGCCAGAGGTGCTGGAATATACTAGCAAACGGCCTGACAGCCTCGGGTAGTTGCACCGCTTCCAGTTTTCTCGGGTAGTAATCATCGGGCGATGTCTGCACAGCCCCAGACGTCAGGCGACACTCTTCGAAGTTGGCAAAGTCGACATCCAGCTTGAACATGGCCTCCTCTAGCCCAGGCACCATGATCACAACCATCTTCCTGAACTGAGGCCGATGAGAGACGGCAATCCACTGAGGAGCGGCGCCGTCGGTGAAAAGATAGAGAATCAGGCTGCGGAGGTCGGTGACCTGGATTTTGCTCTGTAGGCGGGCTTGCGCGGAAAAGGAGATGCTGGGGTAGCTCCCAGAACCCTTCTTGGGCGCCTTCTTGCGGCGTTTACTTGGGCGGCCGTTGATGATAGTCATCCACCCCTCATCGTTGTCATCGCCCACAGCACCCAGCGCGGAGCTGCCGTCCTGGCTACCGTCCGTGCCGCCCAGTGGCGTCTTCCCCGTAGAGCCGCACTCTGTCCGTGGCCGCTTCGATCCCACCGACGCAATCAGGTCGGATGCCTGCCCGCCAAATGTGGACATGTCACCGGCGCTGCCAGCCTGCGCGTTCGCAGGCGGCTGAGCCCCCATTTTGACGCCTGGTGCTGATCAGGGGTCACCTGGACAGAAGCAGATAGGTGAGAAGAAAGAACCGGTGGTGGGCGAGCAGACGGCCAAGCGTGAGACTTGAATAGGAGATAGCCGTCGAGGGTGCAGGCAGCAGGCAGCGGCAGGCAGCTGCTAGATTTTCCGCCTTGTAACTCGGTGCTTCACAATCTTGTCAAGCGACGCTGAGTTATTGAAGAAGTTTATCCAGCCAATGCCCAGGTGGTTGCAGGTTATGGAAGGAGCCTAAATAGGATCCGAAATTCAGTACCCGTCAATATGGGTGATGAAAATAAGGAAGAAGCATTCGGAACAGAGCTGGGATTGAAGTCTTCAGAGTTCCAACCCGCCTAATTTACCTGCGAGGTACAAGGCACCAGCACGATGGGAAGAGTGGGTGCCATGCATGTGGATACCAGAGCTCAGGCACCTCCCTTCAACCCAGAGGCTGGGAACTGTGAGGGTCATTTCACAACATCGAAACAGTGTGCTGTTGCAAACTTGGTATGATAGTTTGCTTATATACCTACTACGAGAGGTTCCCGCATCCCTTTTCAATATGCCGAGAAAAGGAGATAGCTACCTCGATGAATTATGAATAGGTGCTTGGGCAGACAACTACGGCAGTGCACACTGTGGGGGCTATCTCATGTGCTACAGACACTCAATTCTAGGATACGGCAGATCCACCGCCCCACCGTCATCACCACTGAAAACGATCGCCAACTCATCGCGAGACCCGACCTATCTACCTATACAAAGGACCAGGCTGAACTCTGATATGGCTGAGAGTCTCGACTGATGAGAATTGTTGCCTTCTCAATCGATTTAGTTGCTACGTCAAAAAGTCACTTGCCTCCCTCCCGCAAAGCTCAGATTTAAGAAAGGTGGAAGACCCGTTTGTCATGGCGGCTGTACCTAAAGACAGCGACAAGCATGCTGGCATAAAGATGCACGGGACCAAAGGCTTCAGTCCCGGCAGGTGCCTCCGTGCCGCGAGGGACTACAAGCCGGGCCAGCTGATGGCCGTGTTCGATGACCCGCTCGTCGCCTTCCCCGACGCGGCCGGCAGCAAGACGACGTGCCACCACTGCCTGGTCCACAACGCAAAGGTCTTTGGCTGTACGGGTTGCGACAAGGCTGTCAGCTACTGCAGCGACGAGTGCCAGAAGGTCAACTGGAAGCTGATCCACTCCAAGGAGTGCAAGGTGTTCCGCAAGGTGCAGGCCGCCGTTAGCAAGAACTGGCTGCCCACCCCCGTGCGAGCCCTGGTCCAGATCCTGCTGCGCCTGTCCGAGGTGCACGAGGTCGTCACCGGTCTAGAGGGTCATGGAGACAAGTTCAGGGCTCGGAAGGAGCTTTGGGAGAATATGAAGCTGCAGGCCTACGCTGGTATTCACTATGCCGGACGCAAGGAGGATGATGCGAACCTGAACTTGGCCGCCGAGATACTTTGCAAAGTGAGATGGTCAAAACATGATCTTAGCCCAACTTCATGAGACTAATGAGTTTCCGTCTAGATTCAAACAAACTCGTTCGACAGGTTCGATGCCGATACAGGCCAGAGTGGCACTTTTTTGGACCCTCTTCTAGCCATGGTCAATCATTCGTGCATCCCAAACGCCGTAGTCTTGTTCTGGAAGCGCAAGGCCTATCTCAGGGCTGAGACGCCTGTCAAGGCGGGAGAGGACATCACCATATCATATATTGGTAGGTTAAGTTATCATGCCTTGCAAGTGGTTCCCTGGCTGATACTTGAACCTCCGTCTCCTAAGACTACACCAAGCCCCTGTCCTTTCGGCGCCAGGACCTAGAGCTGTATCATTTCCAGTGCGGCTGCCTACGCTGTGAGAAGGACATGGACGTTTACCAGGTCTGCCGAGCATCACCTATACTCAAGTTCAACGATGCAACCATCTCTCCTAGCGCCGCGTGGCTGGCGAGCCCACCTGTCAGCGCGGGCCTTCCCGACCAAGGAGCGTGGCGAGCTCAAGTGGAGGCGATATACGCAGAGTGCGTCAGTACCCGTACCGAGAATCCCACCGCGAACGAACGCCTGGCCAAGCTCAGGGATGACTGGAGGCGGTGCAAGCCGCTCGTTGACGCAAAGCTGTGGGCGCTGGAACCGCTTGCCAAGACGATACAGTCGGCGACGCTGTACTACCTAGCCGCCGACAGGCTGCCCAATGCGCTGGCGACGGCCTGCCTCTCGGTCCTCTACTGCGATCCCGTCCAATACATCGCGCCCTTCAAGCAATTCCGCCTCACCGGCCTGATGCTCGTCGCAAAGGTCCTCACGCAAACCTCGGTCCCCGACGACGAGTCCCTTGCCAAAGACGCGCATCCCGACGTCGTGGCGGTTATGAGCAGGTCCGACCAGGCGTCCATGCTGCACGCGGTCCTGCTGCTGGTTACCAGCCTCGCCCCTAAGGGCCATTCTCCGGACTGGGTTATTCTCGAGGAGGCAAAGGTGATGCTATCGGGCATCGAAAGCATCAAGGGAAGGGAGAGTGATGCTATGCTGTTGCGCAAATGCCTGGCCAACCCGGGAAGCGATGGCCCGCAGATGTCCTTCTTCCGAGAGCGGGTCTTGGGTCCCTTCGAGGAGCTGGCGCGCCTCGCTCCGTCGGTGATCGCGGCGGACGTCGGCTCTTGAGCTGTGTTTTGTTTTGCGTGTGTAGTCTACCGTGGCCGAATCACCAAGCCTGCTTGAAATCTCCACCCGCACGTGAATTTTATGCTGTATGCATCTCTCAGCTTGCGCTCTGTCATACAAATAACCGTGACTTTCAGCTGAGGAACATCCAATATATCTCATGAGCGCGGGGCTGTGCTTGATTCTCAACCCAGCCGCCCTTCCTCGCCCCTGCCTGCACCCTCCCTGCGTCCAGGATATATAATTGATCATCCGCCTGGTACTGTCAACAAACAGATGCTATCAGGTCTCGCCTTTACATTGTAGTGCAATGAGTGCTTCTCCTTGCCCCTGATGCTGAGCTCTAGGGGCTCGGGCTCCTTCCACCCCATGTACACTTCTTGGACACACGGATGGCGTCGAACCAGAAAACCAATGGACACCGAGGCACGCGCAAGGGGTTTCGTGGCTATCTAACCCTTGAGGTTTGGTAGCGTAGCTTTTCTGCCACTATTAGGAGTGAACCATTCATCCTCGGGTTTGTAATTGTTCACCTTTAAGATTGGACAGCGATCTTTTTGTTGTTTTGTCATGTAGGTGCTTTTCAACATCATTACATGTTAGTATCCTTACAACCTTTTTGATATCACCCACCACCCTCGGTCAAGGCGGGAAAACGAGCTTTTACTCTTGGGTATTTTTGATCTTTTTATGTATATAAGACTATGCTTTTTCATGACCACCCCCTGACCTCCCAGCTGTGGTAATTCGACTATAGCTCGTCATTTTCCGTCCCGCGTCCCCGCGTCCCGCTACTCGGAGGGAGCTGTGACTTGAACATTTGTAAAAGTCCCACGCTCCAGTGAGCCGAGTCGGACTTGTTCTCCTCTGCTATCCTCTCGATCCAGAGGCGCCAACAACCATCCGACAAATCCGGCGATTCGCGATCGCAGGCGGCCACGTGCGCCAGAGCTTTGGCCGGCCATATCCCGAGAGTGGCGCCCATGTTCTCGTCGAGAAACGTGTCTGTCACCAGATTTGCAGCCTTGACCTGCGCCTCTGCAAACCGGCTGTCCTTGACGAGAAGGACACGCAAGACCTCGCGCATACCGCCCTTGTCGAGAAAGTCTTGCCGTATGCGGGCACTCTTGACGAGGCCCTTGATGGCAGACAGTTTGGCCCTGGCCAGGGGCGATTCTCGGCCCGCAGTCTTGGATTCTCGGTCATGCTGCATGACAGAAAAGGTCAGCCGTCCGAGAGGAGCGCTGTCCTTCCCGTCCCTCGCACATGACGTTTCCAAGAGCGCTGGCCAGTGCGCCTCGACCGCTTTCAACGCCGCCGGGTTGTTCTGGACCGCGGCAGAGATCGCCCTCGCGGCAAGGAGAGCGCGCGGAGCCTCCGAGGCTGCTACGACTTTGGAGGAAGCAGGGTGGCCATCGCTCATCAAGCAAAAGAGTGAACTCAGGGCCGGGAGGTCCTGAGCTATCTTCAGACCGTAGGAGAGGTCGTGCGAAAGCTCCTCAAGCTTGTCGAGGGCACCATCCAAGTCGGCCGCGTCGACGCCCTTGCGTTTTCCCAGCACGCCAAGGGCGTTGCTGAACTGCAGGGCTTCGGGCCCGGTCGACTCCTTAATCTTCCCAACAGCCTCGTAGGCCGGTGCGCCCGGGCGAATGTGCTCGCCGGCCTGCTCCTGTGGCTCCGAGTCGACAGCTATGACGGCGTTCTCGACAGGCAGTCCGGCCAATGCGGGATCCTGCTCGGAAGGAACATTGATCTTGGCCTCCTTCTCTCCAGTGTTGACGTTCAGGCGGACATGGAGGCTAGTTGGGATGTCTTGGCCAGGCCGGACCGGCTGGAATTCGTGAGTTGCCCGAAAGATCTTGGGATAGCAGTCGATGGCGTTCTCCGGGTGACATATCAGCTCAACATCGCCCGTTGCTGGTTCTTGTGCTGCGGCTGATGCCTTCGCTGCAAGCGAGACACATAGTGCCGCAAGTATACAGGGGATCATTGTTGCCGCCGCTCGTTCAGCGATGAATGATTGGCTTGTTTTCAGTACTTGGACGTTCGTCCTGCCCTTGTTGTTCCCAATCTAAAGAGCTGGTCGAGGCGGGAAAGGCCAGAAAGTGGTGTTTTATATGTGGAGGGAATCGAGGCGACGTGCCAACTGGACAGATAAACAATTCCAATCCTTAAGGGCTCAGGTGGCTGCCTTCCTCCTACAGCACTACAGACAGGATGACTCTAAGCATGCTCCACACGACCGTTGCAGTTTCCGTCTTCGGGTGTGGTAGAATCAAGAAGAAGCAACTGGGCCTGGGTGGATTTGAACAGATATCAACCCAGGACAGTGGCTGAGTACGAGATACCTGCCCGTATAAGCTGTGGCCACCTGTGCATCTACTGTGTCCCTGCACGTGACAAGGTGAGGTGTCACTAATTAGCCACCTCAGCATGGAGGAGGCGGGGCTCACACATGGAAGCCACACGGCGCCACAATAAAGTCCCACCAACCAGCCCACCAGCCTCGCGCGGCTGAAGAAGGGGGCGGCGTGGGTGGAGCTGCGCTTGAACGTCACGGCGAAGCACGAAGGAGCAAGGCCTGACAATTAAGTCACCCCCCCGCAGCATCGATTGCAAACTGCACACGCCTCGCCATACCCACCGCACCGCACCGCGCTGCTGGACTGTTGCACCAATTGGCCGGGCATGCTGTCGCTTCGTCGAGGAGGCGCCTCGCTGGCGCGGCAGTCTCGGGCGCTGAGCCTGCGGCAGTCTAGGTCCTACGCCTCGGGCGGCCACGGCCATGGCCACAGCCACCAGGTTGAGGAGTCCATGGGCGTACGTTGGCAAGCTCGACCCTGCTATGACCGTTCCGTCGTATCTCTCTGCTGACTCCCTGCCCACCCCCCTCGCAGATGGCATTCTATGCTACGTTTGGTGCCGTCCCCGTCTCGGCTGCCCTCTACTACGCGTGCCAACCCGGTGCGGACGGCCAGCCGTCCTCATTAACACAGGCCATCGGCCGACTCTCCGACTTCCGCAACGACTGGGAGACGCGCAACAACTGGCACACGCAGGCGATTGAGCAGGCCGCCCACGACAAGAATCTGTTCTACAACGTCCAGCGCAACACGCATGTCGAGCTCAAGTTCCCCGAGTACGTAACTCTGCCCTGTCGCTCTGCCTGGATCTCCTCTGGGTGGGATGACTTGCGCGTTGGATGCGAGGATGCGCCCATTCGTGCTTCTGCCACGCCGCCCCTGGTAATAGCTAACCGCGTGAGTTATACGTCACAGGATCTTCCAGACAGGGTCGCCATACAACGTCCCAGCCGGTCATTACGGGAACATGGACAAGGTGGTGGCTCACTACAAGCAGCAGCACCTGGAAGAGGAGGAGAGAAAAGCGAAGAAGCTGGCGGCAAAGCAGCTGGAATGATCGTGTTTTTTATTGTATGATATCCAGCCACGACACAAAATCGACTAGATCTCTGAAGAACGGCAATTCCGAATTTGCATCATCATCTGTTAGCTGAAATCAGCGATCTATGCTAGCCAGCAAATCTTTCCGCCCCTTGTGGTGGATTTTTAGTGCGATATGACTTCAGGGGGTCTGCTTGGGCGAGCCCATTTTACTACGTACGCATGGCTTCTATATAGCGACGTATAACGATGCTTTAGAGAAACGGGCACTTTTTGATATACTTCCACGAATTCGGCGGCACAGGAGAGCTCCGCCCTTTTCATATTATGTCTCACTTCCTCGGGGTGCATGCACGCAAGCTCAGTAACTCACAGACAACCATGTGCATACCAGATCTATACGGACGTGAAGCACCTGCCAACCTCTCTCTCGCGGCTAGGTACCGGGGACAAGTGATGATGCATCGTCATTGCCTACCAAATCCTTATCTTTCCACACGGATACCGGTAGCCGCTTCCGTATGCGATGACATCGAAGCCGGTATGCAATAGCCCGGCCGCTCTGCAAAGATACCAGACCGGATTTTCTCCAACTGGCTGCTCGAAAAGGAAAAGAGAGACGAACAAAATACTCGCTATCCATAATTGTCGCACAAGGCTCTCAGCCCGCGCAGTCAGGGAAACTCACGAAGCACAGAGACGCCCACAAAGCAGGGGAGACAGCCTACCAACTCTGTACCATCGCTACCATCCCTGTACCACCGCCGCGCTATGGTCTCGCAACTGTCCACAGCCGACAGCCAGCCCGCAGGCCCCGACGCCACCAAGCAGCCCACCCACCCGCCGCCGACGCCACACCGGGGCAGTCCGGAGCAGCAGGAAGGGCCCGATGTCGTCATCAAGCCCGTCTCGGCCGAGGTCGGGCGCGGCGTCTTCGCGGGGAGGCGCTTCAAGCACGGCGAGCTCATCTTCCAGGAGGCGCCCGTCATGACGGCGACGCACGACGCGTTCCACGAGGCGTCGACAAGGAACGCGCCCGCGGCGTACGAGTCGCTGCCGGAGCGCGACCGGCTGCTCATGCAGGCAGCCTTCACGGCGCTGGCCCGCGCGGCCGTGGCACCCTGCGGTCCGGCCGCCCTGACCGAGATCGCGAGCAAGCTCGACCGGCCGGCCACGGCGCGGGTCGACCTCGGACCGTCGGATCAGCACCTCCACGCCAGCCGGGGCGGCGCGGCGCCCGTGAGACGGCGGGGCGCGGCTGAGTCTCGGGCCATGCTGGGCTGGTTCTGTGCGTACGCCTTCCGCCTGCCCGAGAGCCAGGGCCGCCGGCGGGGAGCCGTGTTCTTGGTCGGCTCGCTGATAAACCACGCGTGCGACGGCTGGAACGCCAACTTCAGCTTCGCCGGTGACAACCTGCGCGTGCTGGCCAGGAGGGACATAGAGGAGGGGGAGGAGATATCGATCAACTATGGGCGCTCGAGGAAGGAGTTTCACTGTCTGTGTGGGCATTGTCTGCGAGGGAGATGGTGGCGATCTGGGTTTTGGCGACACACTTGCGCCATCACCTGAGGCAGGAAGAAGAAGAAGCGGGGACCGAGTCGACAGCCCCGTGTGTCTCGGCAGGCGAACATGCGGACAGAGCTGGAGCTTCGAGAGGGGACACTAGAGGTTAGAAGTCACATACTCACATAATATGAGCCAGCCAGACGCTGCTGCAAAGATCCAGGGGCTGACGCCGCCAGTGTATGCGAGTCACAGCAATCATGTGTCGTGACGCCGTTCTGGGCCTGGGTTTTCACTTAGCAGCATAAACAGCATGTTGGAGGTGCGGCCTTGCCAGCACTAGAGCTTCCGCAAAAGATTCTTGTCTTTTATTGCACCATCATCTCAGGATGGTTGGTTTTTGCCAACCTATCAAGCAAAAACCGTGACCGTGCGCCGTAATCCGTGATCAATTCAATGCAAGAACCCCCAACCCGCATTTCCCGCCGCCGTCCCTTACTTCAGAGGAATGAAACGAGAAGAGTGAGTAGCACCGATACCCGGGCGACCGTGCTTCACAGGCTTGCTGTACGCGGGGAAAAGGGAGGGCATGTTAGCAGGCTAGGTATGCCATGGCCATGCCCGGAACGGGGCCAGGGGGCGGACGGCGAGGGGAGAGTTCACATGGCGACGTACTATGAGATAGAGAACTCTGCCAGGTAGTGACCGACCATCTCGGGCTTGATCTCGACCTGGTTGAACTCCTTGCCGGAGTAGATACCGATGACGCTGCCGATCATCTCGGGAACGACAATCATGTCGCGGAGGTGGGTCTTGACGAGGTCCGGCTTCTCGTTGGGCTTGGCCTCTTGCTTGGCCTTGCGCAGCTTCTTGATGAGGCCCATGGGCTTGCGCTTCAGGCCCCGGTTGATTCGGCGCCGGGCGCGGGCGTGGACGACATCACGCAGCTGGTCCGAGGTGAGGTCGAGAAGTCTGCCGGGGAGACGGATCATGTCAGCTCTCCGCCTCCATCAATGCACATTGCACCCAATCTACAGCGCATCCAAGCATCATCGCGTCCTTCCAATTTGGTCCCATTCTCTCCGACAGGTCGACCGGGCGCATTCCGAGGGGGTTCTGTTGCTGGGCGTCACATACTGGTCGAGGTCGATTCCGCGGTAGGAAAACTTGCGGAACGCTCTTCTCTTCTTGATCTCGGCAGCCTCCTCGGCGTTCTGTTGAAAAGGGCAGGTCCAGGTCAGCGCTGCTGCTACTTGGCTGGGGCAGTGGGCGTGCAATTCACGAAGGGAAAACGCACGTATTCGACGTCGGCCATGGCTGCGGTTCTGAGCTGGTCGGAGTTTCGGTCGTTGTTCTCGATGCCGTGTGGTGGATGTGCTTCTGCAAAGAAATGGGAGATGGGCCTTTTTGGAGCTGTTGCCTTTTCTCGAAAATCGTTTGTGGGCGGGGATTTCGTGCAGACTGGGCAGTGGGCCAGGTGGGCTTAGTCATGCACTAGCCACATGAGCCACACGCCGCCCGCCCTCCCGACCCATCGGAAATTCATGGGGCATTGCGAGTCAAATGTAGCCTGGTGTGTTCAGAAAAGTACCGCCCAGTGTAAAATGCTAGCGCGGACCACAGATGTAGAATCGGGCAGTTAGGCATTATGAGCCAACCAAGAGCACCGCTTGTGTATAATTAGAGCAGCTCGCTGTAAGGCACCTCTTCTATCCGTTCTCCCAAAAGCAAAAGCATCGGGCTCAGGACACCCCGACAGCCAATCACGAACCGGTACAGATGTGCCTCTTTACCCCCAAGAGGGCCCCCAGATACGGAAGTCTTTCCTCCAAGCCCACAAAGCTGTAAGAAATGCAGAAGCAACGGATGAGATAATGAGAGATAGAAGATGAACCACTCCGATAGCCTCCCTGTCGAACGCTGGCAATCACTCCATTTCTCAATACGCGCTACTCATCATGATAGCAAGAACAACATATCCAGAATACAGTAGTAAGCAATGAAAGAAACGATAGGAAAGCAAAGCAGTTCTCGATGTATACAAGTTTGAAGGGAGCGGAGTAGACAAAAAGGGGTCAAGGGGAGGGAATTCCGAGCCCATTGCTAGCGACCGTGTCGTGTATATTTCCCGCTCTTGGCCTGCATCTCCTTAGAGAGATGTCGCAACAGTAGCAGAGGCGAGGGTATGTTTATACTCGGTCGTCAAGCTTGGGAATCCCATGCCGTCAGCTCGATGCCAAACAGTCATGCGTTCCCGCTCAGGTTGATTGTTGAGTGTCGCCCTAGCAGCACTGAACAATCGTTGCGTCGAACTCTGTCCATACATCCTTGAACTCGCATCCTTTGTGGGCCATGAAGGTGCGGATCACAGTTTGCCGGAGTGAGGGCAGTTGGTCCCCGACTCCGACTTCCCAATCCTCAATCTCGTTGGCGCCGCTGAGAATTTGCTTATTAGCGCGTGTACGGAACTCGTCAGATCCAAGGGCGTATCCCCAGAGAAACGCAGATCCTTGGCGCAGCACCATCTCTTCAAACGCCAGTGACTTGTACTTGGTATCCGGGTCGCGGTTAACGGTGGTGCCCATGGACCGGGCCCAGCCGATAGAGCCTATCCACGAAAGCTCCGAGAGGAAGGCAAGGTCGATGGCTGGAAGGGTCTTGATGAAGTTGGCTTGCGCTTGGCGTCCTCTGAGGCCAGTCTCCAGGCATTCTCCGCCATCGCAGTGGCAGCCGAGATCCGAGATGTGGTCGCACAGATGGGCAGCGCGCTCGAGACGGCACAGGTACCGCGGTCGCGACTGGCTCGGAATCGTGGTGTTGGCAGCTAGGAACTCGGTCCGCACCATGGTCGAGATTCGTTGTTCCCTGCGCTGAAGCTCGCGGACAGTGTCGAGGGAGAGACGAGGTAGAACATCGCGCCCATCAACACTCTTGGTTGACAACACGCCGCCAGTAGGGGGTACAGGGAAGGTGATTAGGCGATGTGCAGAAATGGATGCCTCGTAGTTTGAGATAACCTGCCAGGCGTGCCTTCTGGTGCGCGCCAGAGCAGATATGGTGGGTAGATCTGCATACTCAACGATGAGCAGCAAGATTTCTGGCAGATCAAGGATAGATGAAGTCATGTCGAGTGCTTGGAAGGATGTTAGGGGGTGATGATGCCGAAGCCACGATAGTGCCTCTGGCCTTGGCTTTGCGGCTGATATGTTCGTAGGTATTTCTCAGCAGAGACTACTTGTAAGGAGAAAAGCAAGATTGGAAGATTCATTCCTTTCTCGCTCAGGTGGAAGGAGAAAACAGAAAAAAAGGGTTGGAGAAAAGGCAACTGGGTTAAGGAACATGAGGAGGCGGGCACCTTGATGGCCAGCGCCGAATCAACCGAATTCAGCCATATGATTGGATCGCATGCGACCCGCAGGTTGCGAGCGAGCAGGAGCCCCGCAAGGTGATTGTGCATGGCGAGGTGAGGTAGGGAGAATGTATGACTGCGGAAGCTGCAATGGGTATGATGATCGTTGGAAAGTGATAGGTCTCCCTTATCGATCGATGTTGCCGCGGGGGAGCACAGGGGCAGCCATGAACCGGAAGAAGAGGGCGGGCAGGTTTATGTGGGAAGCTTTTTGTATATAGGGGGGTGGCCAAGATGATGTGTAAAGGCCGAATACATTGCATCAGGGAAACGAAACCGGTCGTGGGAAAGTCCCCAGGGGCCCGGGGGGGAGGGGCAGTCATGAGTAGATGAAACGGCAAGCCGGTGGTAGAGAGCGTTTTTATTAACTCTCCCACTGCGATTCCGGTCAAAGAAGGATGTCGCGACGTATCCGGGACCGCGCTATGGTGAGGCCTTGTCGCCAGAAAATCGCTCCTTCATGGTCACCCGCTTCCCTCCCAGCGATTTGATCTTGGTGACCAATGACTTATCCCGGTCCAGCTCAGCAATGTCGTCACTGCCCCCGATGCTTTTGCCGTTGATCATGATGTTCGGCACCGTCTTCCGGCCGGTGAGGGTTCCTAGCCTTGCCTGTATCTGTGGACCGAGCGGGTGCTCGTCGAGCTCCACGACATAAGGCGCAGGGTTGATGGCGTACTTCTCCAGCAGCAGGCCCTTTGCGCGCTTCGAGTAGGGGCAGTAAGTCTTGGAGAATATGATGACTGTGCAGTGGTAAATATGGCTAGTTAGTTAACCAACATGTATGAAGAGGCGCGAGTGGGCGGGGCTGACAACAGACATACCCGGAGACTTGCGCAGAATCGAATCGAGCTCGTCGGCGGTTTTGTGATCCTCTCCCGTTTCTTCTTCCACCTCGTGCTCAGTTTCCTTGGTCTTTTTCTTCTTGCCCTGACCAACGGCCGAGCTGCCGACCCCAATGACGTTGCCAGGGGCGTCGGGTTTATTTGGGGCTTTCGAGTTCGCGAGCTCCTTAGCCTGCTGTTCGGCGGCCTTGAGGCGGTCGGTAACCTCCTGGGTAAGTTTGTGGTCGTCCTCGTCGACGTCGCCGTCGGCGTCCTTGTCTAGATGTAGGTGTTGGCCCTTGGGGTTGGCGCCGGCCCCTGGCTTGGATGCCGCCTGTCCCCCCGCTTGCGCCCTGTCAATGGCGCTCTTGGTTTTTTGGTAAAAGCCCTGTAGTGAGTCGGTGTCGGGGCCGCCAGCCTGGCGTAGTCTAGACATGAAGAGGAGGGTGAGGAAGACGGCAACGGCGACGGTGCCGAGCAGCCGCAGGCGCCGGGCTGAAGGCATCACGGGCGACGTTGGCGCGTTGGCGCGCAAGGGCTTTCGTTCGCGGCCGTTGGATCTGAGATGGCGGGGCCCGGCAGGGGCTGTCCCGGAGGCGTCGGAGTTGCTAGACGCGGTAGGTGCCCACGGTCAATCAGGCGGGCGATAGGAACATGTCCCGTCGGCTCGTCTTGTTCTTCGTTCGTCGCGCCAGTAAAGTGGATAGCTGGTCCGTGGGTACAGGAATCTCGCTGCAACATTCGCGTGTCCAAATCTGGTTACCCGCCTGAACGGCCGATCTGCCGAGAACCTTAATGCGCACCAGGGGGCAACAAACGCGGCGTTTTTCCTCTCTTGCCATCCCGTCCGTAGCTTATGATGATATATCAATTTGTACCCTCGTTTTAATCCCTGATCTCTTCTCAGCATCCTGATCACCCTCAATTTACCTTCATTTCAAGACCCCCTCAGGGCCAGATGTTTGCCCGAGGTTATCCCCATGTCTCATACCCGACTGATCCGACTACTAACCATCAAAGACAACCCCTGTCGTTTATTGGGATTGACATGCATGAAGTTGCGCCGCTTCCCCATGCCGAAATAGAAGCACGAAGAACAAACTTGCACGTTGTTGGGTCAAGCTTTTGAGAATGCGCTGCCTCTATTACAGTGCACGTATATCGAGAGCTGGTCGTGCCCAACGAATGTAGCTATTCCGATGACTTTTTGAAGAGGCTTTGGGCATGGTGACATATCAGCTGTGCGTGAATTCTGTAGACTTAGTGTAGTGTATGTATGTTGTTTCCCTTCTTAGGCTCGGCGATCGACCTGGGGACAGGACCTCGGCCATCATTAAATTACAGAACGGTTGATAAACTTGTAGGCTTGGGCACCTGACCAGACGGCACAGACAATACAGTCCAACTAGCATGCTCCCGCTTTTTAGGAAGCAGTATTTTCTTCCCATCGAGCTACCAGTTGCTTGCTAAGTCGCGGGAGCGGTGTTGTTGTGATGACCGAAGGTGCGTAAGATTCACCGAGAGCAGCCTAAGGCGGAGAGCGGACGCACACGCCAACCAAGAATTGCGATTATATGGGACCGTGCATGAGTGGTCGACGGGGTTGGCTTTCCATTCTTGTCTTTTCCGCCAGGGCTGGCCGGGACATTCTGGCCGCCTGTCTGGCTAGAGGTTATATCGAGGGGCTAAGAGGCAGGCCTTGACCGCCCTCTTCCAAGGCTAGCAAGCGGGACTACCGACTCGACACACATGTGGCCCGGCTGCTCTATTTACAAAGACCCAGTACCTGCGGTTGAAGGCCTACACAAGAAGTTCAATGACGAGTGTGTACCGTAGGTACCTTATTTCTGTCGGCTGGGAGGACAGCGTAGAGGATTTTTCAGAAGCCGCCTCGCTAGTGCAGATCCACCGTCAGGGGCCGTAGATGAAGGTGCTTAGGGCAGACGCTATTCACCATGATCCACTCAGTATCGGCGCCTTCATCGCTGATGAGCGACGAATACGGAAAGGCTATTCACAGGCCATTATCAACAAGTCAAAGTGCGAATGCGCGTCAAAAGTTGACAGCTCGGGTGGGCGGCGATGGCGTCGACAACAAGGAAGCAGACGGCCATTTTTGGATTCCGACACAGTGAATTGACAGGCGATCCTGGGCGGTCGGGGAAGCTTGGGCCGGTGGCGCACATGTTCAGGGGTCTCGAGGATGCGACCAGCCAGTAACATTCAGCTGGGCAAGCCGCCATCGCGTCGGGTGGCAGACGCAGAACGAGAATGGGCGGGGCAGTTGTGCGCGATGTTTGGTGTGCTGGTTGGGCTGCGGCGCAGGGAACCGATTCGAGACACACTTGCTGCCTCCAGACGAGCGGATCAGCCGCACCAGCCTAGCTCGATCGACCGCTCGAAAAGATGGCACAGCCAAAGCGGCGAGCACAGAGGCCAAGAAGATGCAGGGGCCAGGGGCCTTGTCTCGACAACGGCTGTGTCTGCGCGGGATAGCGAGGTGGTCGGGGAGACTGTCTTGTCGAAAGGAGAAAGCAGTTGTGGCACAGGGCGGAGGCGCACTGTTTCAAGCCCGAAAACTGAAGCCCTATTCCCCAGCGGCGATTCCTAACCTTGGGGCCTCGAGGTGACAGAGCAAAAGGACGGAGTGCGACGCGACGGACGTCGTGCATCCCGAGCAGGGGCACCCCTGGGCTGGCGCGAACGTGGGCAAGGCGGGCTTGCCTGGTTTTTGCCGTGGGTCGTTGGATAGGGTCCCACCAGCCCACCGCAGCCCGTCGGCGCCCCCATGAAAAGCAACGCTGGCACCGAATATTGGGCGTGCTTTGGTGTCAATCCCTTATTTCTCCAGCGATATGATGCGTGGTTGGCACAGCCGGGGGAGGCGGGCTGGATGGCTGGGCCGTCTACAATGGCCGCCACGGCGCCTCCCTCGAGCTGCCTCTGCCTGCCTCTGCCTCGATCGAGTCCATTGGGTCGACAATATTGCACCACAGCTCTGGGCAGCGCGAGGCCCACGGACCATCCGTCTGCTGCGCCGGATGGAGAAGGGTGCGGTCCACCGACTGATGCATGGCCCCCCCTGTCGTGGCAGAAATGGAGGCCGGCGATCCGGCGTTTCCACGCCGATTCGACTGCCTCGCGGGGGCCCTCGCGCTATGTGCCCGAGTAGGCAGGTCTCGCTGTCAAGACCTGCGCTCAATCAGCTCTCGCTTCCAACCTTGAGCTGAGCCTGATGAAGCCATCTACCCCACAAGTACCTTTCAGTACTTGCCCCAGCCCCAGTTCCTCCACCGCACCATTCTCGCCACCGCGCGGCGGGCCAGGGCCAGCTTGGCAGGGTTTTTGCATCCTGCCGGCCTGCCAGTCCGGGTAGACAGGTACTTGGGAGGTACCCGAGGGTGCGAGCAGGGGCAGGAAGTCCGGTGGCTACGTCGTGGGTTTCTTGCTCATCCTTTTTCTCACTCAGCTTCCAGTTCCTTTTTTTTCCCCTTCGAGCCAAGTGCGCTTCTCTCCCTCCATCTTGTATCTCTCGTTTGCATTGCCTCGTGTAGGTGTGTGGCCACGGGCTTCTCGGTTAATTCGGCCGGAGTGTGTGAACAGCAGGCTGTGTTGAGAGTACGTGCGGGAGATCGACGGCGACTGCCTGCCGGGTCGATTGGACTGTGCCTAGCTGCACCTCGTCTTCCGTTGCTCTCCGCCCACCAAGGTCCTCCGCTGCCCTTCCCGAGTCGTCGCTGTCGACTCGATACTCGGCACGCCATGATGAATTGACACAAGCGAACCTAACCTGGACGACCATCATGGCCCCGACAATCAAGTCGGCCTTGCCATTCCACCGGTCTCACTCAACTCCCGATCTCCTGACCTTCTCCACGCCGCCGCTGTCGTCTCCTCCCGCTCCAGTCTCGCCCCAATTCCTGCCGCTCTCACCCGCATTAAGGCCCGCCACGGGAACGCCCATATCTGCCCGTAGCCCCGCAAGCTTCAAGAGCCCACCCATCTTGCCGACCTTGGACCTGCCCTTTCTTGGAGAGGATATCCTGCTTGATCTCAAGTCCCCAACAGCTACCGTGGCTTCGGTGCCAGCCCGTTCGCCGGCATCCAATATCCATGATACAGCAAGGAAGCTGGAAGGGCCGAAGTCGCCCTCTGCCAGACACAACTCGGGGGTCTCGGACTCCAAAAATGGTGCCGACCACGTTGAGGCCCCGATTTCTGGCTCGAGGCCGTTCCTAGACTTTGCTCAACTCTCGCTGGAGTCTTCGTCTCAGGCCCGTTCTGGGACTCGCCCAGTCTCTTGCGCCGACTCTCGGCTGGACTCGTGGTCTTCCAGATCGTCCTCGCTACCCCAAGGCGGGGGGGATGCAGAGGCTGCCGTCGGCCGGCAAGGGAAGTGGCAAAAGAAACGCCATTCGTTGATGGGAACATTCAGCGGGAGCCGGTCAGCGGATGCTTTAAGTGGCACGTCTCGCGCTCTGAACCGTGCGAGTGTCTACCTGACAAAGTTCAAGCAGCGGCCCCAGGCTGTCTTTGGACGAGGGGGCCTCGGCCCATCCCCCACCGCTTCTAGGTCGCCATCACCAGGGGATTACTTGCCAGACACACTTGCCGTGCCGGAAGCAGCCTCCTCGGTGCCGGATACCACTCGCCCTGCATCGCGAACAGATACGAGCAGTCCCGACGCCTCATCAACCGAAGATGGTACGACATCTGGTTCGTTTGGGACCACGACAGCTCCATCGGATCATGGATCAGACACGACAGCTGCCGCTTCCAGGACCGCAGCGGCTTCGCCCACCGCGGGGGACCCGCTTGAGTCACAGTTCGACGAGCTGGAGGCTGCCTACCATACGTTCGAGACCCGGCCGACCACTGGGCACCGCATGATTGTCGTCAAGAAAGCACTTTTGCCGTTTCTGCGCCGCTATGCCCACGACCCTTCTAACAAGGACACAGATATACTTGGGCCCGAGGACATCGAGCGTCGCACAGCAATTTTTGGAAGGTGGTGGGTTGCGCTTCTGCAGATCCTGGATGGCCGTAGCGGCCGCGTCGCATGGAGTGACGCCGTCATGGCCATGTTTCCCCCTTCCTGTACCCCTCAGCTATTGGGTGGCGTTGATCGGCCAGCCCTTCTTGAGGCAGCTACCGAGATCATGATGCGCCCAGAGTGGCGGCTAAGCACCACCTACTTCCGCCCGCTGTCAGAACGGTGTCCAGCTGAAAAGGTGCGGGTGCGGTCCAACTCTGCCAGCGCCCCCTCGCTTGGGGACATAAGGGGCTCAGCCTTCGCCGCCCGTTCGGCAGAGCACCGGATCAGAACTATGTTTATGTCCATTCTGCTTGCGCACATGGCGCTGGTCGTGGACAAGATGTCCCTCAGGCACACCCCGCTACCTTTGGTCAAGTTCGCCGGCACGGCCTGCGCATATGCCTTCTTCTTCGTCCCAGGAGTGGCGGACATCCTGGTGCGACTCTGGGGTCTCGACAAGAAGTTGGATGCCGTTACCCGCGTCGTTGATGAGCTTGGTCTGCCCAGGGCTAGTAAAGGGGAAAGCGAGGACATTGTGGCGCTTTTCCCTCCGAGCATGGGATCTCTAGGCTGGACATCGATCCGGGCCCTGCGCGAGAAGCTGCGGCGGCCCGCCAAAGTGCCGTTACAAGCAACGCAGATACCCTGGTATGGGCCTTGGATGTCGAGATGGCGAGGAGACGACTCGGACCTCTTGTTCGTGTTCTGCAAGTACTTTTACCTCATCTCGGAGCAGTTCGTGCCGTCGGGGCTGCCCCTCATCGAAAAGGCCAGAGCCCCGGCCTTTGTGCTTCTCCACGCCCAACTGTTGTCCATCATGGACAACACCATCAACCGGCAGGCCGCATTCGATGCGATGATGCGCCCGCCGATGCCAGATGCCTTGCATGGCGCAGATGCGGCACTCACTCCCATGGCACAGCTTCTTCCTCACACCAACCTGCTTCGAGGCATGGATGAGAACTGTCTGATCGTGTTGCTCAGGGACTTTCTCTCGGCGGACGATTGTCTTGTCGGGCCCCGCAACGCCTTCGCCAAGGCATTCATGATATTGCTCAAGGCTGCGACCAAACATACACGGCGTCATGACCACACATGCCAATACATCCTTTGCGATTTTCTACAGGAGGCGCTTCATGTGTACAACGGAGGCTTCGACACCACACCGGGCGGCGACACCGAGCGGTGCCTGAGCCCTATGGGAGGACAGCGGCGGCACTTGGACCTCGTTGACTGGCCGTTTTGGCTAAACGTGTACAAGCTGATGTTGTCCAACAATAACACCATGTCGGAGATTCAGGTCCTTTCTTTTATCTTTTCCACATGGGATATCATCGCCGCAGATCCAGTGCGAAAGGAGGCCTTGTGTTTGGACTGGCTTTTGACCGAAGAGGTCTTTGTCAGCTTCTTCACAAACTGGTGCCCGATGGTTCGCGCGTATTTCATGCGACTACTTTGCTGGCGAATCTGTCGGGACGGCGGGAGTCCCAATGAGGTTGACGCGTTAGTATATCATACACCCCTCACCCCCCGATAGGCAGGGCTATTCGGGGTACCTTATGGCGTCCAAAACGTTACGTGCTAACCATTTCTCTTGCAAACAGACGAATATTCATGACCGCCTCTGAGAGACTTATGACCACCTGGTCTCACTATTTATGGCTGAAACAGCGATCAGAACTGATTCGTTCTATACCTCCTAGCACTGCTCCGAGTCTGCCTCAGCCGGGCAAGCGATTCATGATCGTCCGCACAGAGATGCCCATGCTACAACGCGGTCTGCTTGCCTCGTCCGACTCGACCTCCAACTTCAAGTCTTATCCCGGATCCGCAGGCTCGGACGACGACGGCTCCGGGATTACGACAGGCTCGGATAATGGCGGCGGCAGCAAGCCCCCGTCGGCCAGTAAACGGTGGTCTCTACTGGGCAAAGTACTCAATATTAGCACAACTGCAGCGCCTGCTGGAACAGTGGCGCCGGGTACCTGGACAAGCGGCGGGCGGCGACAAAGCTATGACGAGGAGCTCGATCAGGCTCGCAAGGATCTCGCGGCCACACGGTCTCAGACGATGCCGGCGAGCGTGCGGCTCTCCCTCGAGGGCCCGCCCCCAACGCCGCCACCGAAACAACCGACGATAGCGTCTCCAGTCTCAGACTCAGACTCGACAGGCTCGTCCCTCGTGTATGACGCCTCGCGGTTTGTTTTCAGATTCACTCTCCACAACATCAACTGGCCTGGTGGCTTCCCTATCCCCGCCAGGGACCTGATCCTTTCGCGCCCTCGCCTGCCCGTCCCCGCGCAGGCTCGAGTCACCTCCAGGCTTGCCTCCATGGGCCACCGGAGCGAGAGCCCTCCTCCACCATCCCCGGGTCTCCCACCCCCGACCAGACTCGTATCCGGCTGGGCACAAGGCGGGCTGATCAACGGGGCCAGAAACGCGCAGCCTCTGAGCCCGGGCGGACATCCAGTCAGCCCCGCCGACGGTCCCCGGCGCAGCGCCAGCAGCCGTCGGAGCGACGTCTCGGGTGACGCTAAGCGTGAATTCACTCCAATAGGCAAGCTCCCGTTCGAGGCGTTGTTGGACGTCGACGAGCTGTTCGACAGTCGTGTCAAGGAGCCAGACCGGCAATCCCCCCAGAAGGAGAGCCTAGGGCGGCAGACAGGGGGCCTTGTCCGCCCCGTCGGCATATACGAAACTAGCGCGCGGTACGCCGGCCGAGCGCTCGCCGAGTGGAGTCTGGTTGTCAGCGAGTGCAACTCGTTTGTCGACCGGAGGCGAGAAGAGGGCGTCCTGGGCCTGGGCGAGGTCGAGGTCCCAACACTAGGCGTCGAGGGGATGCGTAGGTTGACGTAGCCAGGCCCCATGCACCCGCGCACGACTCATTCCGTCATCGAGAAATACTATCTATCCTAGCATCCTCGAAGTGGGCATCCCCGGTTTAATGTTTAAACTCCCGCTGCGCAGGCAGAGCATAATATGCCCAGAGGCATCCTATGGTCCGGCACCGCAGTGGCTAATATGCTTATGTGGTAGCGGGGTTCAAAAGTAGCAACACATCTTTTTGGTTATATCCTATTTTTTTTTTTTATCTATGGGTGTTCCTTCATTAATATGCTCTGTATGGGAAGGTTGTCGGGCACACATCCCTGGCATTTTCCATCCCTTGCCGCTGATCGTCGAGCTGTCCGTTATCATCCCTCGCTATTTTTCTCGCTTTTGATCCCATTATTGTTAATATGGCCTGGGCCGCATCTACTTTTATAGCTAGGCGTTAATGGTTGGGTATCATTCGTCTAGACTGGATATATAAAACTTTATGTGCTGATGACACCTGGCTTTAGATGATGACGGTTCAGACGCCAGTTCTACGTATCTATGACGAGGCAAATCTCAAAATGACAATATCAAATACGCTCGCTCCATCTAGATGGCCTTACCCAACGGAGCCTCGAGAGGTGCTGCGCTGCGCGCCCGACTATGTATATATATCCTGATAAATCCGCATCTGGCGGACGCAGGATTGATATCCAAGATCCAAACGCCCAAAAAAAAATCATGCATTTCCCTGTCCTTTTTTTCTTCCTTTTTATCTTTTTATATTCCTTATCCTCCGGGCAGTACTCAGTCGGCCAGCCCCCCAGGCGAATAGTCCAGGCCTGCGTGGCAGGCTAGTGGAAGCCGTTGGCGACGGCCACCGTCGCAGAGCCGTTCTTGAGCGGCTGCTCCGAGACGGCCAGCTCGAGGGCCCTCAGAACGTCGGCGGTCAGGTCGTCAGCGTCCTCGACGCCGCAGCTGACGCGGACGAGGTCGTCAAAGACGCCGACGGCCTCGCGCTGGTCGCGCGGGATGCCGGCGTGGGTCATGCTGCTGGGCACCTCGACCAGGGACTCGACGCCGCCGAGCGACTCGGCGAGGGTGAAGATGCGCGTGTGTCGGCAGAAGGCCTCAGCGGCGCCGTGGCCGCCGCGGATGCGGAAAGACAGCATGCCGCCGCCGAGGCCGTCGCGGTGCTGGCGGAGTGCGATGGCGCGGTGCGGGTGCGACTCGATGCCTGGGTAGTTGACCGAGACGACGTGGGGGCTGGCCTCGAGGGCGCGGGCGACGGCCAGGGCGTTGCGCGAGGCCTCGCGGGCGCGCAGGTGCAGTGTCTTGAGGCCGCGGTGGGCCAGCCATGAGTCGAAGGCGGACGGGACGGCGCCGATGGCGTTCTGCAGGAAGCGCAGGCGCTGGGCCAGGGCGGCGTCGTTGAGGGCGGCCACGCCCATGACCACGTCGCTGTGGCCGTTAATGTACTTTGTGACGCTGTGCACGACGATGTCGGCGCCGAGGTCGAGCGGGTTCTGGACGTAGGGCGAGAGGAAGGTATTGTCGACGACGACGAGGATGCCGCACGCGTGCGCCTGGGCGGCCACGGCGCCAATGTCGACCAGGCGCAACGTCGGGTTGCTGGGCGTCTCGATCCAGATGAGCTTGGTGTTGTCGGTGATGTGGTCGGCGATGTCGACCTCAATCTCGGGCGTGAAGGTGACGGCGACGCCGTGGGCCTTTGCGACCTGGGTGAAGTAGCGGTGCGTGCCGCCGTAGACGTCCGAGACGGAGATGACGTGCGAGCCCGAGGCGAGCGACTGCAGGATGTTGGCCGTGGTGGCACTGCCAGAGCTAAAGGCCAGAGCGTAGCGCGCGTGCTCGAGCGCCGCGACGGCCTGCTCGAAGTTATCGCGGTTGGGGTTGCTGCTGCGGCTGTACTCGTAGGCGCCAACGGGCACGCCGACCGATGTCTGGGCGAAGGTGGTGGACAGCGAGATGGCCTCGATGACAGCTCCCGTGGTCGGGTCATGCGGGCTGCCGGCGTGGACGGCCAGCGTGCCGAACCCACGGGCAACCTCGGGGGATGCCGCCGCGTGCCCGGACATCTTCGCCCCAGCGGCAGCTCCTGTCGTGCTCGGGGCGACCTGGACCTGTGGCACTGTCATCGCTCCGAGGTAGTAGTAGGTCGAGCGAGTGCTCTAGACTTTTGCCCTGCTCTGTTGCCTAGGCCCTAAGCAGCTGCGTAGTATGGGCTGTGCTAGACAATCTGTGCGTCGTTAGCCAGGGTGTGCTTTGCAGTTGCCAGATATCAATGATAAGGACGTACCAAGTCCGGTGTTCGTTTGATAAGTTCTCTAAGCGTCCTGTAACTCCGGCTCTGTGTACGAGATTAGCTTTTCAAGCCAAGTATGTCTGGTAGAATGATTTAGAGAGGAATAATATTAGATCAGTCGGGGAGAAAGGAAAAAAAAGGCGAGGAAAATATAGGTGGAGGGGATGCTGCAGGGAGGGGGATGGAGATGGGCACCGGCTGTTGTGGAGGAGGGGCTTTTGTTTGGTCTTTTTCTACAATTTTTTTTCTGTCTCTCTGGATGGACACCCGGCATATATGGACCACAAATGACATGAATTATACCCGGCATCCCACCAAGATTCCACAGTGGGCAACTGGATGCACGAGGGACACTAATTACGTACCGCTTTGGGAGAATACTCGCGTTGACACGCCGTCGGTCTGTCGGTGTGTTGCGGAATCGGACTTGACTCAGGTGGCTACCATCGGCGTAGGGAGGGCCTGATAAAAAATAAAAAAGGAAGAAAAAAAGACCCTGGTCTAGCGTGTGGGAACCGCGCAGGTACAGGTCACCAGACAGGAAGGACGGCGCGAGCTGCCCAGCTTCGGTTCCGCTTTGTAAGAGGACAAAGAGCCCAAGAGGGGAATAAAGCTGAGAAACCAGGTGTCGTCTTTCGTTTCCTCGAGCTCAAGGCGAGAGACCCAAAACGAGGGCAAGCATGCCCAGATATTTATGCGGCGGGAACCAAAGAAGTTGATTCATAATTTGGCGTTTTAGTGCTCGAGGTTCCAGACGATTGGGGCGCTGGGCGCCCTGAATTGTCAGCAACACTGTTGGCGCGCCGCAACCTTGCGTCTTTCGTCATTCCCTATCCCAATGAGCAATCGTGCTGTCCCGACGGGCGCCCCTGGCCACCGCAAGCCTCGGTCGCTGACAAAACAAAATATGCCCCAAACGAGGCATTCATTGGCTTTGTCCCCTGCCAGCACCTTCCCTCGGCAGGTACCCAGCTGCCCAACAAGGCACTTCCGCCGAGTGCCGTCATCCCGCCCATTTCTCTTTTGGCCTGAGTAGCGGCCATATTTAGACGCAGATCAACTGCATGACCACCCAGGATCTGACACCCGTCTGATTCCATTTGACGGCCACAGCAAGCTTGGCTCCGACACACCGATGGACGGTTTCCCAGTCGGCTTTTGGTATCACAACACCAACCCAGCGCAGCATAAATAGGTAGCTTCTCAGACGTGAGCCTGGCCGTATTTAGATTGGTAGATGGTTTCGTGTCGGCTTTTGATTTTCCCCAACAGGATCCTCTACGAAAAGCGAGGCCCCTTCCACAACGAAGAGTGGTGATTTCGACTGAAGCTAGTAATCGGCTGTTCGCCACAGCCCGCTGAGCTTCGGATTCTTGTCTTTCCCCCCCCTCTGTAGATTTATATCATATGGCCTCCCTAGAGTGTTCCCCTCCTCCCTGAGCTCCCGACACTGATTATTGTGATAGTACAAGTGGAAGAATGAAACAGCCCTGGTTATGAGCTTGTGGAGGCTGGAGATGGGTGGGTGGGTAGGTAGTGTACACGGAAATAATACATGGGGTGTTTTTCGTTAGGGAGCGGGATTAGGGGCGGGTGCTCTGGGAACTGAGGATACCGAGCTGAGGGGTGACAGACATTGAAACGCCGGGTCGCCCGCAGTAGGCCATCTGGAAGCGCCGAAGAAGGCCGCGTGTGGGCAGCCACCACAGTGGTGATCCCGTGACCGCATTTGCGGATTGGGGCGGTGTGAGGACAAGCCTGGGCCATGAGGGCGGGTTTATATGTAGTCGCGGCTGCTCTTTTGCATCTCGATCAGGCGCCAGCCCCTGGTCTCCGGGTTGTTGACATCCTCAGGAACTCTTGTGATGCCAATGGCGTAGGTCACAAGCTGAACACGGTCCTCCATGCCCGCCGCCAGCTCCTTCGTCTTGGAGTTGCGGTACACATGCACCTCCTGCGTCCTGCAAGTGATGATAAAGACTGGGATCTCGCCCGGCTCCAGCATCCTGGCCTTCAGAATATCGACGTGGCGGATGTCGAGAATGCGTCCGTCTGACTTTAGGCCCACCTGGAGGTACTGCTTGGTGAGAGCTTCGTACACCGAGAACTGGGCCTCGGACAGCCAGAGCTTCAGAGTTTCGACATCGCCCTTGACGTAGGCGTCGAGAACCTCTGGCAGGATATATTCCCGTAGGTCGCGCAGAAAGGGCTCGATCTGGAACGCCGGGTCCATCTGCCGCAACTTCTTGATCACCATGGCCGTCTCGTTCTCGGCAAAGAACCCGGCCACACGGTCCGTGATACTCCTTGCCGTCGAGATGAGAGGATTCTCTGACTCCTGGTACGTGCTCTTCATGCTAAAGACCCCTTGAACAAATTTGTTCGAGTCTCGGAAATCTCTCCATGCCTCCTTCCACGCCGCGTCTTTGTGGAGGGTAACATTGGTGCCGGCCCTACCAGCGTGACAAGGGTTCTCAAGGTCAGCCCACGGGTACATGAAGGAAACAGAAGCAAAGGGGATGGCGAAAGGCAAGGGATGGGTCAGCATACTCGGTATTCTCCTGTGCGACAGGTCCGGCCTGGGACGGATCGGCCTGCTGCAGCTCTCGCCGCCTCCGCCTCTCCTCTTTGTCGACCCAGCCGCCGTACCTCGAGCTGCTCCCGTCATCGATCACGTTCTTGACATCTTTAAACGCCTCTGTCTCGCGTATCGGCTTGGTAGCTTCGTCGAGGGCATCGCCAGTGACGTTGGCTGCTTTGCGGACGCCCTTCATGACGGGAGTTTCCCAGGTCCACGAGGCACCCTTGCCGATGGCGCTGGCGGTTCCTTTCAGCACCGTTCCAGCAGTGTTGGAGACAGCACCCGACGTGGCCTCGTACGCCTGGCGGGCGCGTCGCACCGACTCGCTCTCGGTGAACTGGTGTGCCGACGAGGCGATGGCTTTGGTGGACTCATCCCACTCTTTAGACTGCTTGAACTCGGACTGCATTGTTTCCATAAACACCTGCCACGGTGTCTTGTCGCCGTGACGTGGTGGGGGCGGCATGTCCCCGGCCTGCTTCTTCTTGTCACCGTCCTCCTTGCTCCCCTCCTTAGCTCCCTCACTGCCCTCCTCTCCTTCGCCCGCATCTTTTTTCCTCTTGTCGCCGTCTAGCTCGTCCTCAGCCGCTTCTTCGGCCGCTGGTTTCCTACCCTTGGCCTCAGCCGCCTTGTCTTGGCCTTTTTCGCTTGGTGGCCCGGAGTCATCCTGCGGCTGTTTCTGTAATAAACGGACAGAGTTGTGGAGAGCGCGGAGTTGCCGGGCCTGCTCCCTTGACGAGTCGAACAACAGGCGGTTCGGGGGCGCGGGGTGTGATGATAATATGGATGGGATGGCGGCCTGTGACCGGCGCGAGATCAGGCGGCTAGATGCTAGTAACCTGAGACCCGAGGGGGAAGTGAGCAAGGAGGCGGTTCTGCCGAGGGTGAGGCCCCTTTGCTGATGCGCCCTTGTCCAAATGGCAGCCATGGCGCTGTCTTTTTCTGGTCTTCGGTTCTTCCCGCCTGTTTCTCCCCCTCTTTTTCTGTTTCCTTCCCTCCTCTTCTCTGTTGCACCGTCTTATACCCTTTCGCACTGCTCTTCTTGTTCTTCTTTCCCTCGCCTTCAGGGTTCCGAAGATGATGCTTTCAGGTTGGGGTGCGGGCTGAGCGCATGAAGCCTAGGTGAGCAAGGTTTTACCGAGAAGAAAAAAATCGCGGGACAGCCGACGGCCATGAGCAGGGGTCTATTGTGCTCAACATGCGGGATCAGGTTGGATATGCGGTTCTTAAGTGGGGCCTGGAGGTTTCCATGGCCAATAATTGAGGGGTACGCATTGCCGAATGTCGGATGTGGGTCCATCGGAGCTCTTTTTTTCAGTCGCGATCTTGGGGTTGGACAGATCCCGTGCGGGGAGACAAGCAACCTGGCTGGAGACGAACATCTAGACACTTGCATCTAGGTATACCGAACACCCGTTGGACTGTTTTCCGAACGGGCCACTCGGCCCCCTTGCAAGACTGGTCGTTCCTACCGTTCCGACCGTACTTTCCAGAGCAAACCTTGGGAACCCCTCGTTGGAATCCAAACACACCCACCCACAAGCCCAAGGACGGCGGCTCCTTGGTGAGTGCGCCCCGAACCTGTCACTAGGATTCTTCTCCCTCTGAAAACACTCGCAGATACCGGGAACGGGCAGCGTCACTAATCGCGATCAATCGATCTGGCAATAGCATGCAGACATGATGGGCCGCGGCTTGACTTGGCGGGCACCGGGCCTGTCCAAGATTTTCCAGGCCGTGATGCCAGCCGCTGGGCGCAGCGATCCGATACCACGATGGAGGAGAGCGTTTGCTAGCGACACAACGGCCGGTGGCAGCTCTGGAACCACCAATCCTCCAAAGACCTTGGACTCGATGTTGCAACTGGGCAACCTGCTACCCAGCGGATCGGCCAGCGCGCGTATCAGCACGCGCATCGACGATAGCTCCCTGGATAACTTCACCAACACGTCACTGGACGAGTTTGAGCGCAAGAAGACGACCAACAGCAGCAAAGAGCCGTGGCATTTCCACATCTTCAGCCACAAGCACAATACGCACATCACCATCACCACCCCCGACCGCAGCCCCGTCATCTCGATGTCGTGCGGGAACCTGGGCTTCAAGAAGTCGGGGCGCAAGCACTACGACTCGGCATACCAGCTCGGCGCGTACGTGATCGACAAGCTCCAGCAGATGGGCAAGCATAAGGATATAGACCAGCTAGAGATTTGCATGCGCGGCTTCGGGCCCGGCCGTGATGCTGTGATAAAGATTCTGCTGGGCAACGAAGGGAGGTTGCTCCGTCCCAAGATCATCCGCGTGTCGGATTCCACGAGACTAAAATTCGGAGGCACGAGGAGTAAGAAGCCGAGACGTTTGGGCTGATGCCGTTCGCCCTGCTTTGTTTCGTCTTTGGAAAGGCTACGACATAGCGTCCACTGTCCCTTGGCAGTGGCGCAAGGACACGTGTGGCGCCTCGTGTTTTGTACGATCAAGTCTGCGTTACCTACCACCGGCCGACGTATGTCCGTCTACCATATCTATACACCTTACCTAGACATCTCCAACCGCTTGCATCATCCTCTGTGTCGAGCGGTCAGGCCTTTCGCGCATTTTGGCCAGCTATCTGAGGACGCGTTGGTGCTTCGAGGGGGCACAATGTGTGAGGACTGGCCACTCCTCTCTAACTTGGCTTCCTGCGATCTGTGAGACACGAATTCCAGAGCCAGCCTTATGGTTTATTACTGCCGACACCTCGTCCATATCCTCGACAGGCCTCTGTTTCCCCTGGGGTACATCGGGGAGCCGGGAAGCGGCAACCAGGGTCGGTGAGCGGGCTGGTGATCTCCACTCCGGTGTGGATGCCTGCCTCAATTATTCGTCACCTTCCGCGCCAGGACAGTGCTGGCTGGGTCCGTCCATCCCCGCTTCCATCTCAAGTCCACGAGCGGACAAGCAAGTGTTGGCCCAGCTGCCCATCGTTGGCGGCCGCACTCTGTGTAGGGCCCGCCGTGTCGACTTGGCTTTCCGGACATCCTCGAACTCTATCCATCTGCCTCCTCTAGGCCCTCCCGCAACTCCCGCACGCGACATTGAGCTCCATCGTCCGCCACACTCCTCGCGACCATGACAAGCCTGGCTAGGCGGAGCCGGCCCATTTGACATCCGCGATGCCGCCGCGACGCTCCCACAAAAAGAGCCGAGACGGCTGCAGGCGGTGCAAGAGCCGCAAGATCAAGGTCAGTCATTCCACAGGCTGAGGCTTGGTGCTGAGCAGCCCGCGCGTCGAACCGGGGCCCCTTTGGCTAACTAGCGGCTGCGATCGAGGCGGCATTCTTCCTGTCTAGTGCGACGAGGTTCATCCCCGATGCGGAAACTGCATGAAGCACGGCGTAGACTGCGACTTTGAGCACCCCGGTGCCCTCCGCGCCAGCAGCGACGGCGCGCCTGCCGCCTCGCAGCGAATCGGTGTGCCCGGAGCCGCCGCCACAGGGTCCTCGACGAGCACAACCCCGCTCTATCGCGCTCCGGCCGCTGCCGGTGTGCTGTCACACACGACCCCTGCCACGAGCAGGCTCTTGGAGTTGCGCCTGATGCACCACTTCATCTCCGTGACCAGCGGGACCCTCAACATCGCCGCCCCCGTCGCCGAGGAGGTTTGGCGCGACGCCGTTCCCCAGATCGCCTTCGCCGCAGGCTCACAGCACCTCGCCGACGGCATCCTGGCCGTTGCCGCATTACACCTCAGGAGTCTGAACCCCCGCGATCAGGAGGTCGTCCGCGCCTCCCATGCCTACATGGCTTCGTCCCTCCGCGAGTACAGCGACGTCCTGACTCGTGGCATCAACGCCTCCAACGCCGAGTCCCTTTTCCTGACCTCGACCCTGATCGCCATCCAGTCCACTGCTACTCGCGTCTTCACCAAAGACGAGTCCATAGTCGTACCCCACCCGGCCGACGGCAGCATTGCCAGGAACCGCGCGGCCCTCGGCGTCTACGGCCTCCCTCTCTCTTGGTTCCACTCGTTTCAGGGAGTCAAGGCCGTGACGGCCGCTTCCTGGCAGTGGCTACGTCATAGCAGCGCCGTCATACCCATCATCAACTCGCAGCCTGTCCTCCAGTTGGACTTCAACAGTACCGAGCCAACCTTTTTCGGCCATCTGCTTGACGGACTGGACCAGGAGCTGGCCGCGCTTCCACTGGACAATCACTCCCCAGATTCGCCATCCTCGTCGTCGAGCCGAGCTCCAGATTCCGATGATGCCGCCGCTACTTTTGTTGCTTCTGCCGCCGCCACCGCCACAGGTCCATCGTCCTCATCCGGGATTGGCTTCGGGTCCCAGACGCAAGGGCTGCCCGGCGGCGGCGGCGGTAGCAGTAGCAGCAACAGTACTCGGCAAACCACGCGGCAGGCCTATGAGCACGCCGTAGCCGTTCTCAACTGGGCACACAAGATCCCGCACAAGGGCTCGCCGCTCGCCTTCCCCGCCACAGTGTCGCGGCGCTTCGTGGAGCTGGTCGAGGACCGGCGGCCCCGTGCGCTGGCCATACTGGCGAGCTTTTTTGCACTCCTCAAGTGTCTCGACCAGGTCTGGTGGCTGAGGGGAATGGCACGGCGTGAGGTTCTCGGCATCGTCTCCCTATTCAATTCGGACTACTTCGGCCCTGATGTCGAGCGTCAGTGGTGGCCGCACCTGGAGTGGTCCGTCCGAGTGGCCCTACACGACGACCGAGACAATCCTGGCTACGTGCCAGCGGACTTGTGGGGTGCTAGCTGGGTTGGCGACGAGACTGCCGTCCCACAGGAGAACGCCCCCAACTTTGTATCACATATCGAGATGCTGAGCGAGATGATGACAGGCATACAAAGCTTTCCTGGTCCCATTCCAAGCCAGGGCAGCCGATGACGACCGGGGTTCGGCTGATGAGAATAAAGGTCAGACAAGCCTGCGAGATGTTGCCAGCTGCCGCGAAGCCTTGCAGACAAACGGGACCTTGGGTTCAGCTAAGCTTGATCATAATTATGATCAAGATGCTGCCCAGGCTGTTCTACGTCATGACAGCCCTTTGACTACTATGGGCTGAGCATAGATGATGAGGTGATGAGGTACCTCTATCGGTCCATCATATTACGCAACGGGTGCTGGCTCGCCCGCTGGCTGGTGCTGCCTGTCACTGCCAGTATGCGTTGGAGTTAGGAGGTTGGGGAGACCAGGCCCTACCTAGAGACGAGTAGACGAGTGCGACTCCTCGGTCTGGAGAACGTAAACTTGCCTATGTGAATGCATTTCATCCCCGGCCGAGCGCCCCTGAAGCCCATAGATCCTCTGGAAGGAACCATAGCGGCAGTTTAGCGATGGCTTTGCGAGAACCGGGGCTTGCGATAACAGGAGGCCCAGGGCAGGCCCTACTACATTGTGGCGTCGGAGATTTTCAAAATATGCATTTTTTTGGGTTTGAAATTATCACCGACACGCTTGCCAGGAACTAGCAAGGACCGTGTTTCCTACGCCCGTGTTCTATGATGGAGCTCGTGGCGTCCAACATCAGGGCCGCAACTACTCTGCGGTCACATATGCATACGTAGGTAGGTAGAAGATGGAGGGATATGTCCACAGAAGGTAAAGGGGGCAGTTGATTAAGAAATAGCGCTCTCAAGCCTTTCGCAACTTCTTTTTGGATCGCGCCGCATCCTCAGATGATGGTTGCTTCTCCCCGTCGGCCTCTCCCCGATCTCTCTTGAGCGCCTTCATCTTCCTTGTTTGGAGGTCGCCCAAATCCTGCTTGGCCAAATGGATACGTCCCATCTTGTCGCCCATGGCGTCGGTCGAGATGTTCTTCTTGGTCCTCTCCTCCGTCGTCTTGGGTCTCCGCATGGCCTCCTTCAGAACGCCCTGGTCAGGCTCGCGCACCCTACCTAGCCTCAGGTCTATCCGCGGACCAATCTCTTCCAGCTCGACCCGGGGCAGCTTCTGGCCGCTGCGTTTGGTCTGGATCATGTAGACGCGCAGATTGACCGCGGGCTTCACGGCATCGCCACTCCCTGCAACGGCAGGCGCGTCCTCTGCGGTTACGACGATGACGTAGCGGAGACCCTCGACGTCGATCTTGTCCGAGCTGCTGTCGCCGCGGAACAGATCCAGAAGTAGGCTCTTAGCAGCCGTGTACTCGTTCTGCACCGTGCTCTCGAACTGGGCGCCCGCGAAGACCATCATCGGGCGCAGGCCGACGGTGAACTTGGACGTCTTGAACTGCGAGATGCGCCTGAAGGAGTCGGGGTCGAGACACAACTCCAGCATGTCCAGGACTTTGTGGTTGAACATCCGCACCAGGGTCAGCGTGTGCGGGCGCTTTTTACTGCTGGACCCGAAGACGAGGAGGCTTGTGTCGCATTTCTCGGAGAAGAACTCCAGCGAGGCCGGGTCTTCGAACGGGTGTACTGCGTTCTTCTTTGTGAACTTTTTTGCCAGGGGCTGGCGCATCGAGTAGATGTCGGCAAGGGCGTCCTGCACCACCTGGCTGCAGCTCGTCCCGCGGAGGAAAAGGGCGGACTTTGGGTTCTCGACGACTTTCGGGGCCTTCTTCTCCAGGATCCGCTTGGAGCGGGCGTTCCGCGGCTTGCTAGAAATAGAGTTAGCATTAGACGCACGCAGGAGAAAGAATTAGAAGGGAGGTTGTCGTACATTTGCCGCAACATTCTGTCGACAGTCAATTGGCGATCGGATTTTAGTCTAGATGTGGTAGCTTCAAGTTTGGGTAAACGTCCCCAAAAAGTTTCTCGGGATGCGACGCAGATAGCAAGGCTGTGAAAGTGGTGGGCAGAAAAGACAAAAAAAAAATGCTTCAGAAAAAAAAGGCGGTAAAAACACGCCAAGGGACCAAGCTGCGGCGGGCGGGGTGGGCCTTGCATGCCCCACCTTCCCAGTTCTGAAGCTCCGATGCGGCATAGCTCCAGCTTTAAACCCCGTGCTAAAACGAGAAGAGAGGGCAAAAGTGCGGGTTTTGTTCTAGGCTAAGGCCCGAAGGGCCGCGTGCTACGAAGGGTGCATAAGGTGGGCAGAAGGCCCGTGCGTACGCTGATGACTGACTCATCCTCTCTCCACAGCGCTCCGGTAAAGCATGTCATTCGGTGGCGAGGTTTTTCCGTCGCTAATGTCCCAGATATGGTACATAATCTAACAGATAGACGGCCGCGACGCAGCCCATTAGAAAGATACTCGTGTCGCGAAAAAAGGATTGACACGGTGTCTCATGCAGTCGTCTGATGGGCATGGCCGCCGTGACCAGCCTGCGCATGCATAAAATAGTCCTCCATCCCGGCAACCGCGCCTTCCATGTCTTCTTTGAAAGTCAGAAATAGGCCCTGGATGGCAGCGGTACTGACTAGGCGAGTGGGCTGGTGTGGCAGGTTGGAGAAGAAGCCCAGCTGCAGCAGCTTGGCCAGGAACTTGTCACGCCCGCTGCCAGACGGATCAACGTCACCGTAGAACCGGTCCCAGAGCTCAGCCGCCTGATGAGCTGTCGCCTCTCCTATCCGTGCGATCATATCGACTCGCCCCGGACGGATGAGGGCCTGGTCAAGCCGCTCTATGTAATTGGTAGTCAAGAACGCTATCCGGTCCTCACCTGCTGCCAGGCCGTCCAGAACATTCAGCAACCCGGAATACGTCACCGTCGCGCCGCTGTATCCGTCCGACGACTTTTCCTGGCGATTCCCGAACGCGACGTCGATGTCTTCCAGAAGCAGGATTGAACGTGGCGGCAGGGTCATGAGCATGGCGGCCAGCCTGTCGTCCGTGAGTCCTCGCTCAACCAGGTTCACAATAGCCAGGTTATAGTCCAGCTCCCCCGCAAGGGCGTGGATGAAAGACGACTTACCGCTCCCGGGCGGCCCGTGGAGGAGGTATGTGCGACGGTACGGGATCCCGCGGTCGACATACCATTTCTGCCGCCCGAGAAAGTCATTGACGTCTGCCACGATGCTCTCCTTGAGCCCCTTATCGAAAACGACGGATGCGAGCGGCCGCTTTCTCCGCGCAACTCCCAGCGGTGCCCATGACATGCCCTGGATCCTGTACACTGGAGTCTTTCCCTCTTGTGCGCTCTTGGCGAGCGCGTGCGCTTCGGTAAACACTTGCTCGAACACGTGCCGCCGTGACCACAACGTAGTGAGAGTCACAGTCTCATGTGGCTCCCCGGTTTGATGATTCGCTGTCGACTGCTTGTCCCGGCTGACAGCAATATATGTGCCGTCTGTGTGCCGGATGATGTGCCGGCCATATCCGGGTTGCAGGAAGAAGCTAGCACGACTCGACTGCTTGGCTTCGGCAGATCCTCCACCGGAATCCGTGGATGTTGCCACGGATAGATTCCTTATGCGCGTCAACTTGGACGCTAGGAACCCAGGCGCCGGCCGTGGCGTTGATAGCCATGCTAGAATCCACGGATATGATGGATCGCGACGGCCAATCTCAACATTAACAAGCAGGTTCTGGCGTAAGAGTTGGGTGCCCTGAACCGCCCCACGCCGAAGCAGCGCCGCCGCCGCCCCGAGGCTAGCAAGCCCGAGCCCGCCTGCGAACATGGGGTTGCCGTAAAGCGCCTCGAGCCCAAATCCCGACGGCGTTGGGGATGTTGTCTCCAGGATGCTGGCGCCCGCCGATGCCACCTCGCCCGGCGGGCGCCCATCCGCAGGGAGCGGATGAGACTGGGATGTATGCGATGGCAGCATAACAGTAGAGCAAAGATTCTACATTTGAGAGGCGCCGGTGAATATAGCGGCAACCGAGCTGTGTGGCTCGAGAAAAAATGGAAGATCTTTAATTGACTCGCAGTGGCGCCAGGTTGTGGCTTAGGGAACGCAAGATCTGATTGTGGGGTTGGGGTCCTCTTATCAGGCGAATAGGGTGAACAAGATGCACCAATAGCGGCCCCACGATGACGCTAAGCGATTCTTATGCACTCCTTCACTGACGGCGACCTGCCAAAATAGAAAGAAGCCGTAAAGGATTTAGTGTAAGTTCAAATTTGGTATGTTGAGCTGGTTGGTCTACCTGGCCTTAAAGTATCTGACATTTGTTCTTTTTTTTCAAGCCAAACCGGTTGGCAAAAATCCTTTGAATACCCCAGTTTACAGATCTTGGCGCGAAGTTATCCCTTCGAATATTTGTTTCTATCAATCTGCGGTTTTTATAAACCTACCCCGCGAATTGGACTTGCGGGGACACTCTTGCGCCGGTTCTGGGCTGAGTCACTGAGACTTGAATCGCAGTCCCCAGGAAGTGTGCAGCAACAGTTGATTGAGCGAGTGGCGCTCTCCATCTCTTTTGTTTTTTTAGTGTCTTCTTTTTTGCACTTGTATTACTGCTTCTTGGCGTCATCGCGCAGGCTTAGAGCTGCTTCTCTGCTCCGACTCACGGCAAGATGGAGGAACCGGTAAGTAGCAGGAACAACAGGAGCCGCAGCAACAGCAACAGCTGTAGAAGCGGTAGCATCTCCTCTTCATCCCCTGGATTATGGAGAACGGCGCCTGACGCTCATATGGCTCCACGCAGGACCTGGTCGCGCCGTCGCTCGAGACGGTGCAGCAACTGCTGAAGTCGCGGGTGGCCGGGCGCGATGGGAAGCAGGCGAACCTGGTGCCAGTGTACGGCCAGATCTCGTCGGACCTGATCACGCCGTCGGCCGCGTACCTCAAGGTGTCAGCCCATTACCGCGCCAAGGCCCGGGTATCTCAGCCCGAGCAGCCTGAGCAGCTGTCGTTCCTGTACGAGAGCGCTGCCACGGAGCGCGTGGGCCGCTATAGCTTCGTGGGCGCCGCCCCGCGCAAGGTGCTACGCACCGGACCCAGCTTCGGCGTCGAAGCCGACCCGCTGCCTACACTTGAGGAGGAGCTAGCACGCTACACGGTCGCCACCGACGTGCCCGGCCTGCAGCTACCGCCTCTGGCCGGCGGCGCCATCGGCTATGTCGGCTACGACTGCGTGCGTTACTTCGAGCCCAAGACGGCCCGCCCCATGCGTGACGTGCTGAAAATCCCGGAGTCGCTCTTTATGTTCTTCGACACCATCGTGGCCTTCGACCGCTTCTTCGGCGTCATCAAGGTAATCACGTACCTACGCGTCCCGCCCGGCGACCCCAGCGCCGCTACTTTCGCCTCCGACGTCGAGGCCGAGTACGCCCGCGCCCTGGCCACGGTGCGCGAGTTGGTGGCTGTGCTCAACGCGCCAGACATCCCGCTGCCCGAGCAGAAGGCGCTGCGGCTCGACCAGGAGTACACTTCTAACGTTGGCCGCGCCGGCTACGAGGCCCATGTCACGGCCCTCAAGAAACGCATCGTCAAGGGCGACATCATCCAGGCCGTGCCGTCGCAGCGCTTTGCACGACCCACCGACCTCCACCCCTTCAACATCTACCGCCACCTGCGCACCGTCAACCCGTCGCCCTACCTCTTTTACATCGACTGCTTGGACTTTCAGATCGTTGGCGCCTCGCCCGAGCTGCTGGTCAAATCAGAGGGCGGCCGCATTATCACCCACCCCATTGCCGGCACCGTCAAGCGCGGTCCCACGCCCGAGGAGGATCAGCGCCTGGCCGACGAGCTGACCGCCTCACTCAAGGACCGCGCTGAGCACGTCATGCTGGTCGATCTGGCCCGCAACGACGTGACACGCGTGTGCGACCCGCTCGAGACACGCGTCGACCGCCTCATGACAGTCGAGAAGTTCAGCCACGTCCAGCACCTGACCTCGCAGGTCTCGGGAGTACTACGCCCTGGGAAAACCCGCTTCGACGCCTTCCGTTCCATCTTCCCGGCCGGCACTGTCTCAGGTGCCCCCAAGGTCCGCGCCATGGAGCTCATCGCCGAGCTCGAGGGCGAGAAGCGCGGCGTCTACGCCGGCGCCGTCGGCTATTTCGGCTACGGCAGCCTTGATAGCCACGGCGGCGAGGTAGAGGGCGAGATGGACACGTGCATCGCTCTACGAACCATGCTGGTTAAAGATGGCGTTGCTTATCTCCAGGCCGGTAAGTCACGACAATGACCGACTCGTTATTCCAACTTCTACCCTTCCACTATCTGGCTGCAGCGCTGACAATCATTGGCCGGCCGCTCCGGCTGGCTATCGGTCTTACCTTTAGGAGGCGGCATTGTCTTTGATTCGGACGAGTACGATGAGTGGATGGAGACTATGAACAAGCTTGGAGCTAACATGCAGTGTATTACCTCGGCTGAAAAGCTATACGCCAAGCGACAGTCGTCGTCGTGCTGAGCGTTGGATTAGTACTTGGCTGCCATTGAGATCTTGGCTAGTCATCAGTTAGCTCAAGGAGATATTGACGACATTTGTACGCCGCAATTATCCACGAAACCCACATATTCCCGATGATAGAAATCTTCCAGCCTCGCCAGTCCCATACCTCGGTAGGTTACATACATGCAAAAGAGCAGATCGTGCGCTTCCGGTGGTGCAGCTAGGCCCGCCTGCTATTTGAAGGCACATGAGTCGATGACAGAGTGGCAGTCAGTGTATGTGCAATCACGAGCGACCTCGTCTTCGCTGGTTTCTCTTTGGTATCTCCCGCAATACCACCTATCCAATACATCCATCTCGGAACAATCATTCATTCGAGGCCACCGACTACACGATGCTCATGCATACGCCGCCCGTAAATGCCAAACACAATTATCTGACCTATCTCGATATGGGCCACAATGTTCGAGGTATTCTAGGTATATGACGCACATAAAATCTGTTGGTATTTTAGAAGTACATAACCCCTCGTCGATACCCTAACAGGTAGACCATCCAAGGAACCTATAGCCCGACCATTCGCTTGCATTGAAAGGCGTCGTTTTCGCAGCTACCCAAGCAAAAAGATGGGTGGCGTTTGGATGAGATCGTTTGCAGTCCCCGCAACCTCTTATGTGGCTATCCGCGGGTTGGCTGCCTCCTGCGTTCCCCTCCATGTGCACATTTGGGATAGCACGAGCCTTGTCGTCGGTCGTTTGCCCACTGTTACTCTGTCCAGCGTTGCCTTCCGTCCTTGAAACTCTACAGCTTTCTACAGACAGCCCATCAAGAATTACCGGAAGAAAGCCCTCTGCCTGCAACAACTTGTCACATAGATTTCGTCCCATCCAGCGGTGCACTTCTCAATCCATTCTTCAAGCACGTTAGCCGCATGTCGTCCTCGCGAGGACAGCGGCGTGCCTCTCGCCAGGGTTGGAGAGGTGGCGGGCGCTCCTCGGGCAGCCATGGCGAGCGCTCCTTAGACAATCATGGCGGACGGCATACCAATAACCAGGAGAGGCAACCATGCAGACCCTTCTAGCGCGGTACCTGCACCTACGGCTCGAGGTGTCGTTATTCCCACGACCGAGCTCAGCACAGCGGCACGACTCGGAACATCCGCGCCAACGACGAGCCGGAGACGCTGGAACAGACCGAAGCAAGGACAGCGTATTTCGATTGGAAGCGCCTGTTGCGATTGCAACTTGGCAGCATATACGGCAATGGCCTGTCATCCCTGGACAATTTTTGGGGTAGAGCTGCCGACATACTCGACGGGGACGGCCGAGACTGGCACCAAATGCTCGTCAAGGACCTCATGGATGAGACGTCATCCGGCCGCCAATACATCAATACCACGATTGCCCTCGATGTAATGGCCAAGGACAGCCCGAGTACAAGGAGGTCTATCGCCGATAATTTCATCAAGGCCATGGCTCACCCGTCCCTACTCGACTGTCTCTCGGTCGGTACATATGTCGGGGAGCTGTATCACATTGCCAGTGGCGCCAATGGAGCGGCCGCTTTAGACTTAATTGCCAAGTATTGCAAAAAACTCACTTCTTCCTACGAGAAAGCCCTTGGAATTCATGCCCTGGAAAGTATCGAAACATCTTTCAAGAGGGCGTCGACTCTGGTCGGCGAGCTCCTTCGCCGACGATAGCTTGCCGCGCCTTAGGGTGGTTTTGGTAAGCTTTTCATCGCTATGGATGGCGTTGTAAGCCTTTTCAACATCCCGAGCATAGCGAATAGCTATGCCACGTGTACAGATAGCATCACCACTTTGCGTCGCATGGTCGAGTTGCCCGCTGCGCGCCTTACCGCAGACACTGACCCCTCCAACGGCCAATCTGGCTTTGTTGCTTCGACAGCATTTCGGCCAAGCTACGCCTTCCCGATCCAGCTGCCGGGAGGCACGACAACGACCACCTAGTTATCGGTCGAATCAAAATTTATCCGACCATCGACGAAGTCTTATCTACCCGGGACGACTTCCTGCTATCGACCGACTTTCGGCAACCCCATTTCCACGATAACCCGGTCCAGCGCTACCTTGACATACATTTCAGGCTCCTCCGACACGATATTTTTCGTCCGCTTGTCGACTTCTTGCACCAAGCCCTGCTGTCATTTAAGGATGGGGCCATTCCCGTTAATGTGCTCGATGGAAATGTCAGGGCGTATATCTACCAAGGTGCGGTGATTTCGCACCTCTCGGTGGATGAGAAGCGAGGCTTCGAATCCCAGGTATCATTCGCTTTGCCTTATAACCTGAGACACAAATCTGCCAAGGAGCGACAGGTCGGGTGGGAGCAGTCGAAGCGGCTGGAGCAGGGAACCATGACATGCTTCGTTTGCGCCGTTAGCGGCCAGCCGACGCCTTTGCTCCTTGTCATTAGTGACAAATCCACGAACCCATTAGAGGAAAGCAACCCACAGGGGGGCCATCTCGACCATGCTTGCAACGCCAGAACGCAAAGATCTGGAGCTCCTTACTCGCGTTTGCTTTTAACCGGCTCTAGGAAATGGGGAAAACGCGGGTACTGGGATTGTACCTTTTTGCGGGCTGCAACGTGTAAAAGTACCTCCCTCCTTAACAATGTGTTAGTAAAAAGGGAATTTTTGCGGGAAAAAATCCCAGTGCACTAATATTGCAAGCTATTGGAAAATTTTTATAAGCCGCACACGTTGTTATTGCGGGCCGCAAATAGCAAATAAAAAGAATTCGTGCAAAAAGTTACTATATTAAAAAAAACGTGTACGAGTTATGGTTGCGTCCCGTAAATTTTAAATAATAAATAATAAATAACAAATTCCGTAATTTCGTATAATTTATTAAATTTATTAATTTATGTATATATATATATATATATATATATATATATATTGTACGTCTTGTTTATTAAA